ATCAGCATGAATGATTTAAAGAAATAAATTAGCACCAAGCTATACTGGAAGCCACTATATTCTTCATTGGCACATAATTGCAGTTAAAAAAAAAAAGTTCCTATACTTGAGTGAAAAAGCAGGGAAATTTACTGATTTTATTATCTTAATGTTTGAAGTACATCTTTTTAGTATGCTGTGTGCATGTATAACAAGGACGCATACCACACTGTTACTACACACTGAAATGTGAAGGCTATGTCCTGCCTTAAGGTGGCATAATTGTGTGGTTGTTGCAGGCTCAGCCAGCTGCTTTTGCATGAAATACAGAACCCAGTTATTCTGAACTGGGTATTTGGGAGGTAAATTTTTGAAGATTAATAAATTGAACCTATTGTTTGAGGCAAAATAACTGACACTTCTTTCTTGCAATGAATTAATCAAGCTTTCAAGGAAATATTTAAAATTTAGAAATCTTGTAACCACTGCCTTGAACTTGATTGTTTCTCAGTATGTGAAAACCTTTTCTAATAGTAGTGGTGATACTAACAGTGCAGACTTCATGGTAATGTATAATGAAATGCAAGTGGCTAGTGCAAAAACCCAATTGAGTATTGTTTCAGATTCTGAATCATAAACTAACCTTGTTTTGGTGTAATCTAAAAATATGCACTATTAATATATCGTCCTTTTTCCAGCTACACATCTGTGTGAGGCCAGACTTTCTTCATATATTCCAAATAAAATGACAGTGTAGCAACAGAAAAAGCATCTACTGTCTTTTTTTTATTTATTTATTTAACAGGCAGAGTGGACAGTGAGAGAGACACAGAGAGAAAGGTCTTCCTTTGCCATTGGTTCACCCTCCAATGGCCGCCGTGGCCGGCGCGCTGCGGCCGGCTCACCGCGCTGCTCCGAAGGCAGGAGCCAGGTGCTTCTCCTGGTCTCCCATGTGGGTGCAGGGCCCAAGCACTTGGACCATCCTCCACTGCACTCCCTGGCCACAGCAGAGAGCTGGCCTGGAAGAGGGGCAACCGGGACAGAATCCAGTGCCCCGACCAGGGCTAGAACCCGGTGTGCCAGCGCCGCAAGATGGAGGATTAGCCTAGCGAGCCGCGGTCTACTGTCTTCTAGAAAGCCAGACATTAAAGAGATTTACAACACTGTAAAATAATGCTACTCTTCTCACTATTTTTTTTCTTGGATTATTTTTCATAAATGTGCTATTTATATTAATACATAGTGGGTTTATCATTGTTTTAAATGAACTATTAAGTACTTAGTTATTTTTGTTGTAATGTAAAATATGGTATCAATCTTATAACTCATTTAAATAAAAGATCTGCCGGCGCCGTGGCTCACTAGGCTAATCCTCCGCCTTGCGGCGCTGGCACACCGGGTTCTAGTCCCGGTCGGGGCGCCGGATTCTGTCCCGGTTGCCCCTCTTCCAGGCCAGCTCTCTGCTGTGGCCCGGGAGTGCAGTGAAGGATGGCCCAAGTGCTTGGGCCCTGCACCCCATGGGAGATCAGGATAAGTACCTGGCTCCTGCCATTGGATCAGCGCAGTGCGCCAGCCGCAGCACACCAGCCGGGGCGGCCATTGGAGGGTGAACCAACGGCAAAGGAAGACCTTCGTCTGTCTCTCTCTCTCACTGTCCACTCTGCCTGTCAAAAAATAAATAAATAAATAAATGAAAGAAGTTGGATTCTTTAATCTTTAAATGTATAAAATGGTATTGAGAGCAAGATGCTGTAAGATCACTTTTCTAATGTATTTATTGGTTTAAGTTCAATGTTTTGGCTTCTGTTAAATAATAGCAAGAGTTAACCTTAGAAATACTGACATTATTCACATTTTTCTTTTTAGTTATCTGAGCATTTTCATCCTTCTGTATCCCTTTTTGCAAAAACCATCCTTCAGGTAAGTAAAATATTCAGACAAGAATAAGAAAATCACAACAGATGTTCATTACATTCTAGCCCTCCTAGCTGTTTTCAAGGTTTGGCTGCTAGTTAATGGCTAGATGGTTACATTATTACTAGTTACCTATCCATAAAATCAGCAGTGTTAATTTTTTCAAATGTGCATGAGAAGGAGATTTGAAGTGTCATTATTGTATACTTATGCCTTTGAGCTGAATTCTTAAACAATTCCTCTCAACCCCTTTTCAGGGAAATTATATTCACTATTCAGGGGATCCACTGCAAGATTTCACACTAATGAGATTCTTGGATCGATTTGTATACCGAAATCCAAAACCACATAAAGGAAAAGGTATATTTCTTTTAAATGACTTACTTGGTTTTCATTATTGAAATACATAATGAACAATATGGACATGTAACTAAGTTTTACATTATAGTATCATGATTTTGCATTTCAGAAAACACAGACAGTGTTGTGATGCAGCCAAAAAGGAAACATTTTATAAATGATATTCGTAGTCTTGCTGGTAAGTATAACATTGAGACAGCTGAAACCAAGAAGATAGGAGATAAAAAGTGAATGTTTATAAGCAAGTGAAAGACATGTGAGAGCCCTATTTGACTTTAACAGTTCACTGCATCCACTGAATAATTTAAAATGTTGTTCTCCGTGTGCTTTTCCAGCATTTGTGCTTTGCACTGTAAGATCTCTTCTATCCACCTCCCTTACATTTTCAGATTTTAAGATTGTAGATGTGCCATATGTAATCTTGGGTGCCAGAGTAACAAAGATAATAAAATGCTTAAATTTTTCTAGTGAACAGTAAGGAATTCCTTGCAAAAGAAGAAAGCCAAATACCAGTCGATGAAGTGTTTTTCCACAGGTAATATAGTTTCATTTGGGGAACTGTTAAAATTCAGATTGTTAGCTTTTTTAAAATGTTTCACAAATATTGGCACATGTTAAAGACTAGAGGATATGTCAGTATCCATTTTTGTAAATTTATATATGAATCATTTTGAGTCTTAGTGAACTTAAAAGTAAATTTTGGGATTTTGTTTTTACATAAATGCTGCTTTATGAATCTGAATGGAATTTGAGTTTTAATTTTTTTGGTATAAAAAATTATTTAACACTCATATTACTTTAATAAAATAACTTGTAATTTGTCCAATAACCTTACAGCAGAGTCAGCAAAATTCATTGAGCTAGTATAGAAATAAGTTCTAAATCCACTTGTATTACTACTAGTGCCTTGAAGTAGTAGAGTACCTGTTAATCTGGTTGGTTGGTTGGTTAATTAGGTTTGATTTGATTTGCTTTTCTAAAACATTTAACTTTACTGTGTTTTAACAAGAATAGGGCTAACGATTAAACATTGTGATTTGAGGTCACTTATAGCCACATTTTATAATGTTCTTAAATCATTAGTATGAAGTTGAAGTAGCCTTTTACTATGCTATTTTGATTAAGATGAAGTGAGTATCTTTAGGAAACTTTAAAAATCATTAAAATTTATTATACTTCACATTTCAGAAATTTCCAACTATTTTGTTGAATTCAGATCATTTGTATATTATAAACAAATTCTGCTCATTTATATCTAATTGAGAATCCTTAAGCTTTTACAATTATGTCTTGTCACTGGTTCTAGGTGCTATGATCATACTGATGGGATTTTTCATGAAATTACCAGTTATATAATATGTGTTTATTTTAGGTATTACAAAAAATTTGCTGTTGTTAAAGAGAAGCAGAAACGAAATGCAGATGAAGATAGTATAGAAGATGTGGATGATGAAGAATTTGAAAAGATGATTGGTAACTAGTTTGTACTGACTTCAGTTTGTAATATCCTCTTACTATTAATAGAACATGGAACATCAGTAGTAGAAGCGAGCTTAGTTTTTAAAAACCAATCTAACAGGCCGGCGCCGCGGCTCACTAGGCTAATCCTCCGTCTAGCGGCGCCGGCACACCGGGTTCTAGTCCCGGTCAGGGCGCCGGATTCTGTCCCGGTTGCCCCTCTTCCAGGCCAGCTCTCTGCTATGGCCAGGGAGTGCAGTGGAGGATGGCCCAGGTGCTTGGGCCCTGCACCCCATGGGAGACCAGGAAAAGCACCTGGCTCCTGGCTCCTGCCAGGATCAGCGCGGTGCGCCGGCTGCAGCGGCGGCCATTGGAGGGTGAACCAGCGGCAAAAGGAAGACCTTTCTCTCTCTGTCTCTCTCTCTCACTGTCCACTCTGCCTGTCAAAAAAAAAAAAAAAAAAAAAAAACCAATCTAACAAAGAATATCATGCCAATCAATGGAGGAGTAAACATTTTGCTGGCATACAGTAATTCATTAACATTGCTCCAGAAAAGAGGATGTGAATGTACTTTTATATAGTCTATGTGAGAAAAAAATCATTTACACCTATGTTCACACATAAGGTCAAATATTTTATAAAATAGAAAACACTTTACTGTTTATAGTCTGCTTGTACTGTTCTATCAATAGTCTGTTTTACCTTTATAATCCACTGAGCTAGAAGAATTTTAATCAAAACTTAACAGATGAAAAATTGGAAAGGCTTACATGATTCTAGTTTTATTATACATTGCATTATACCTACTAGAAATCGAGGTTTCTTAAAATAATAAATTTTTTCAAAAGATTTATTTACTTATTTGAAAGGCAGAGTTAGAGAGAGAGACAGTATCTTCCATCCACTGGTTCACTCCCCAGATGGCTGAAGCAGAAGCAATCCAAAGCCAGGAGACTGGAGCTTCTGGGTCTCCTATGTGGGTTCAGGGACCCAAAAACTTGGGCCATCTTCCAGTGCTTTCCCAGGCACATTAGCAGGGATCTGGATTGGAAGTACAACAGCCGGGATTCAAACTGGCACCCATATGAGATGCCTCTCTTTCTCTCTATGTGTAACTCTGACTTTCAAATAAATATAAGTAAATCTTTAAAAAACAAACAAACAAACAAACAAACAAAAAAAACTATAGAAATAAGCTGAAAGTAACTGGAATTCACTTTGGTTTAGGGGTTTAAGATCAGTATTTCACAGGTTCATAAACATTAACAAAACACACCAGTGAGTCACATTTGGATTATTTTGGTGTTTATTCATCATAAACAAATCATTATTGTATAACAATAATTCAGATATATGTTTCAACCTTGTTGTTTGTTATTTCTCACAATTTGGATATTGTTCTCTGGCAGACACATTTGAAGATGATAACTGTTTTACTCCTGGAAGAGATGATCTTGATTTTGCTAGGTAAATACTTTCTTCAGTCTTCTCTCTATTCTTTTCCTAGCATTTCCCATCTTTCCCTTTAGAACAGTAGAACACTAAACTATATGATGTAAAAGGGGAAATGTATTCAATAAGTTTAGGGAGTAGGCACAGTACTTTAATATTGGACGTTTATGATACATGTACATTAGTGTATTTACCAAGTGGTCCCTAGGTCTCCATTTATGTCATTTAACAACCCAGCATCCAAGTAGTCCCTAAAATACACTTTGGAAATTGCTACCCTCTTTTACAAGTCTGTTTTGTTTTGTTTTTCCTCTAGCAACATGAAAAAAAAAAGAAGAGCTAAGGATAACACAGAAGATAAAGATTCAGAGGACAGTGATGATGAACTTGATAACCTGGATGATGATGAAGTTTCTTTAGGAAGCATGAATGAAGAATTTGCTGAACTTGATGAAGATGGGGGAACATTCATGGATGTGTTGGATGATGAAAATGAGGATGTTCCAGGTAAGCACTTTTCTTTTTTTAAGATTCATTTATTTACCTGAAAGGCAGAGTTACAGAGGGGGATAGAGGAGGAGACAGAGAGATCTTTGATCTGCTGGTTCACTCCCCAGATGGCCACAATGGAGCTGAGCCAATCCAAAGCCTGGAGCCAGGAGCTTCTTCTTGGTCTCCCACATGGGTGCAGGTGCCCAAGGACTTGGGCCATCTTCCGTTGCTTTCCAGCTAATTGGCAGGGAGCTGCTTCAGAAGTGGAGCAGCCTGACTCGAGCCAGCACCCCTATGGGACGCTGGCACCAAAGCCAGCAGCTTTACCCACTATGCCACAGTGTTGACCCCAGCATTTTTTGTTTGTAAATAAGACATTGTCCAACTTCCTTTGTTCCTCAGTCTGTCAACTTTTAAAATATAGCCCTGTATTCAAATTAATACTCATGTATCAGCTAGAAATTTAAGAAGAACCTTTTCCATTTGGAACTTAAGATTTTGTGGGTTAGTTTTTATTTGTTTCTTTTAAGCAGCTGAATTTTGAGTTCTGGACTTTCATTTTAATCAACACTTGGCTTTGCTGTATGATACCAGTTGATTATGTTGTCTTTCTTTAAGGTTAGAATAGTAATTAGCAGTTTATAAAACTTACTCAAGGCCGGCACCATGGCTCACTAGGCTAATCCTTCGCCTAGCGGCGCCAGCACACCGGGTTCTAGTCATGGTTGGGGCGCCGGATTCTGTCCCGGTTGCCCCTCTTCCAGGCCAGCTCTCTGCTATGGTCCAGGAGTGCAGTGGAGGATGGCCCAAGTGCTTGGGTCCTGCACCCGCATGGGAGACCAGGATAAGTACCTGGCTCCTGCCATTGGATCAGCGCGATGTGCCGGCCGCAGCGGCCATTAGAGAGTGAACCAACGGCAAAAAGGAAGACCTTTCTCTCTCTCTGTCCACGCTGCCTGTCAAAAAAAAAAAAAAAAAAATTTACTCAGTATTCATCGGAGTCCTATAACATGGATGAATATTTTATCATTGTAAACTACTGAAAAGCACCAAAGTTGTCTCTTTGGACTGTTTTCTAATCTTTTTGTCCTCCCGCATGCTCCCAGTGTACACTCACACACCTGTTTAACATCTTGCTACTTACTCTGGACCATAGCAGAAGTTTCTTATTTTAAGGAGTTTTATATTATTTGGTCTCATTAATGAAACTGTCTGGTAAAAATAACTGCACAAAATATGCAACCATAGCAGTTATTCTTGGTCGTGATCTCTGTCTTCCAAGCCAGTACAAATGGAATTCTGGAACCCACATGGAATAGCGGTATCGTACCTTACCATTGGATTGCAGATTCCAGCATATCTCTTGAATGATTTTCCAATTGTATTGTTTTAAATTACTTAATCACAAAATTTTTTGGTTAACAGAACTTGAAGAAGTCAGTTCCAACATCAGTACTAAGAAAAGCAAGAGAAAAGGCACAGATGATTTTGATTTTACTGGGTCATTTCAAGGTATGGAAATGTATTTAATCTCTCTTAAGCCCTGGGAAGCATACACGTGAAAGATATTATTCATTATCATTTTGTGAAATAAGTTTCTCTAAATTGTGTAATACAATTCAGTTGTTTTTATAATTGATTTTTAATAGGTAAAAACTGTCATTTCACACATATCTACCTTCAATTTCTCTTAAGTTCCTTCTCAGATTTTATTTCTAGATCACCTTTTTCTTCATCTTTAAAGCTTTGAATTTTATGTAAGCCCTGAGTTTTCCACTCACCTGTTGTCTTACTCCTTTTCTCAATCATTACTTTTTGCCATTTGACTCTTGTAAAAATCCATGCCCCCTTTTAATTTCATTTTCCTTTCTTTAATGAGATTTTTATTTTGCTACTATGACAAAGCAATTCTGATCTCACCGCATCTAACATAAAAAAGATATGAATTCTTTCTCTCAGTCTGTTCACTAACATTGTTTAAATTATGTAAGATTAGGCTGTGCAGTTTAACACTTGTAGGGAGCTGGTAAATGATGACAGTATTAAGTTTTTGATAAAAAAGCAATCAGTAATAGTTTGGGATGTAGATTAAAGGATGCTTGACAAAACTGATTGAAACAAAAAAGAAAAAAGGTAAAGTACTAAAAGGAGGCAGGGGCAGGATATCATTCTATGATTGCAAGTGTTAGATATCATTAAGAATTAACAAATCTTAAGAAAGCAGTACAGGCTGGCACCACGGCTCACTAGGCTAATCCTCCGCCTGTGGCGCCGGTACTCCGGGTTCTAGTCCAGGTTCTAGTCCGGGTTGGGGCGCCAGATTCTGTCCCGGTTGCTCCTCTTCCAGTCTAGCTCTCTGCTGTGGCCCGGGAAGGCAATGGAGGATGGCCCAGGTCCTTGGGCCCTGCACCTGCATGGGAGACCAGGAAGAAGCACCTGGCTCCTGGCTTCGGATTGGCACAGCACCGGCTGTGGCGGCCATCTTGGGGGTGAACCAACAGAAGGAAGACCTCTCTCTCTGTCTCTCTCTCTCTAACTCTGCCTTTCAAAAAAAAAAAAAAAAGGTGGCAGTATAAAAGTATGCCAATGGCTGTTTACACAATTCTTAGGTAACATTTCACCTTAATAAAAATTAAGATGAAGTGCTTTAGAAAATACTGTATCAAAAGTAGCTTCAGGGACCAGCACTGTGGCATTGCAGGTTAAGCCACCATCTGTGATGCTGGCACTCTGGGCCCTAACTCCTGTCCTGGCTGCTCTACTTCTTTCTGCTCTTTCTTTTCTTTTTTCTTCTGCTTTCAAATAAATAAACCTTGCAGCTCTAGTATGTCTACACAAAGATTTGTTCACTATTTTTCATAGCAGCACTATCTATTGCTGCCAAAAAGTAGATATAACCTGAATGCCCATTAACCAACAGATAAACAAAATGTGGCCATAGAATGGGCTATCATATATCATAGCCAGAAAAGACCCAGGCAGTTATGGGGGATGAGAGGTGCCATGAGGGTATGATTACAGAGGACACCAAGGATCTAAAGAGCTGATGGAAATGTTCTGACATTGGATTGTGGTCATGAACAACTGTAAATTAGCAAAGCATACTGGATTAATACACTTGAAATAGCTAAATTTTATGGTTTGTAATTCTTAGTAAAGCTGTTTTTCAAAAGTGTTTTGGGACCAGTGTTGTAGCAGTTAACTCTTCAACCTTTGTTGCCAGCATCCCATTTCAGAGCATCAGTTCAAGTTCCGGCTGCTCTGTTCCCCATCTGGTTCCCCGCTAATGCACATGGGAAGAGCAGTGGAAGATGGCACAAGTACTTGGCCCCTGCTACCCATGTGGGAGAGCTGGAAGGAACTTCAAAGCCCCCAACTCCTGGCTTTGGCCATTTGGGGAATGAACCAGCAGATGGAAGATATTCATATTCTCTCTTTCTTTCTCTCCCCCTTCCCCTCCCCCTCTTCTCTATTATGATGCCTTTCAGATAAATCTTTTTAAAAAAAGTGTTTCTTCTATTGTTAGAGACATTGATGTCAAAGATGCATATTTCAAAATCCATCTTTCACAACTTTGAAATTTTAACCTTGCCTGATATTTTGTTATTTCGTTTAAGATTATTCTTTGAATAGTGGTCAGATCTGAAAAACAGGAATACACAATTTCATCTGAACAATTTATTAGTATATTGGTTTTTAAAAAAACACAGTATACTGTTATTTTTCTTTTAACACCAGCTACCTAACAGTGGTAAAAGATAACAGTAATCATGTTTTCATAGAAGTATAATTTTTACTAAAAATTATGTTGAAAAATTTGCATTCCAAAATCATTGGATTTGCATTTGAATAACATAGACCTATATTTTTTTAGGACCAAGAAAAAAAAAGAAAACAAACATCAGTGATTCCAGCCTATTTGTGTCTGCTGAAGAGGTAGGGCTAACTTGCTGCTTTAATAAATTAACTATTCTGAGTTATTTGAAGTTTTGTAATAAATTTATCCTTTTATTTTGAAGTTTGGCCACCTATTGGATGAAAATATGGGGTCCAAGTTTGATAACATCGGATTCAATGCCATGGCTAACAAAGATAATGCAAGTAAGTACCTTGAATTTTTTACCAATGTTTTAAAAATAGCCTGGAGTTAGAACAAGAAGATGAGTATTTTTGGAGGACCTTATTAATAATATTTTAGAATCTAGAAGAAATAGTTTTTTCATCTCTCCTTCTGGAGAGCATGAAGAATTAAAAAGTATTTGGACCATAGCAAAGAAACTACCAAATACATTTTTCTTAGGTGGGTTTTATTTTTTTTAATGAGTTTAATAAGTGTTTCTGATTCCGACTGTTACTGGTTTCTGTTCTATTACAAATAAAAGTGTTTCAGGAAAAGAAAGTCTTTAAGGCAATTGTTCCTTTTCCTTCCCTTATCTTTTATTGGTAAAACATTAGTCTTTGACAAAAAAACTGAGCACAAGCAGTGGGTTTGCTTGGGGGATGGGAAGCTGCAGCCTTGGCAGACCAGAAGTCCCTGTCACTCAGCAGGATGTTCTGTGGGAATCTGGAGTCTAAATGGTGGGCTCATCTTTCTTCTCCTCCCAAAGGTCTCAAACAACTGAGGTGGGAGGCTGAGCGCGATAACTGGCTGCACAACAGAGATGTAAAAAGTATCATCAAGAAAAAGAAAAACTTCAAAAAGAAGAGGCTGAAACTCAATCAGAAAGCTAAAAAGCAAAGGAAATGAGGATTATTAAATTATCAATTAAAAATTCTACTTACTCCTAATTTTTGCTGTTAAACCATTTTTCTTGATCTTGTTCTCTGATCCCATACATTCCAGACTGTTCAATGGATTTGTAATAAACTATAAATAAAAATAATTGTCATTTATAAAAGTATGTAAAACAAAATTAGACTTACATTGAGGAAAATCGATCTTTCCCCATGTTGCTGCATAATAAGATGAGAGGATAGAATTACATATTTCCTGCATCTCCACTAATTGTAATGAGCACTATTCAGCATCACATTATGCCAGGCACTAAGTACCAACATAATGTCACCTTATTAGGTCCTTGAACAATTCCTTGAAGTAGAGATTAACTCTGCTTGGTAGAGAAACAGCTCTGAGAAGTTAGCAAACTTTAGATAAAACCAGTCTTAAAACCAAAGGTTTTATTACCACCACAGTTATATCTTATTCCAAAGTCTACAATCTTAAACCACCAGAAGAATTAAGAATCTAGCCCACTAACTAATTTATGCTCTCATCCAGATAACTCTAGGTGGCAGTTTTCTCCAGTCTGTAGTCTCAAAAGGAACTAAAATGGGGATGAATAGAATTATTGGATATTTATGTATCTCAAGGTCATTTACTCCTTAGTCATAAAAAAGTTAATTTATAGATTACCTGAAAAAGTTGTTTTGTGCTCTTATGTTTAAAAGAAAAACATACCTTCCAAGATGAAGGGAAATTTCTTGCTCATTGTTTGCCTGAAATCTGATGAAAAAAAAGAAAGTCTTGAAATTAGACATGATCAGAAACTCATTATATTAACACATAAATTAGCATTTTAGGATCTATATGATAATAGGTCAGAAATTTAAGAGCCTTCTGGTAATCTAGGAACTCTACCTTTTTGGGTAAGATTGCATTTGCACTTGCCTTAATAGGTAACTGCCTTATATTTTGGACTTTTTAAAATCTGGCACATATATATACATATATATCATATTATTTATTTATAAATTGTATTTAAAAGTAAATCTTCAGTGTTAATATATAATTCCCTATGTAAGTGTATGAATTGTTTTTTTACCATTTTACCTTGAGAAGGGGTTAGAAATAAGATCATACCCATATTTTGAAATTGATTCCAACTTTGCTTTTAAATACTGTTACAATGTTTTCTTTATATCCTTAGAGTTTAAAAGTGTAGACTCTGTGAACATCCAATAGCACCCTACCTAATACAATGTTACAGTGAAGTACTCTGAAGAAGACAAGTTTCAAGGATGGACACCACTCCATGACTATTCCCTGCTTTAGGAAAAGAAAAAGCAGCATTCCCTAATTAGAAAGTTGAGGACTGGCTGGCACTGCGGTTCAATAGGCTAATCCTCCACCTGCAGCGTCGGCACACCGGGTTCTAGTCCCGGTCGGGGCGCCGGATTCTGTCCCGGTTGTCCCTCTTCCAGGCCAGCTCTCTGCTGTGGCCCGGGAGTGCAGTGGAGGATGGCCCAAGTGCTTGGGCCCTGCACCCCATGGGAGACCAGGAGAAGCACCTGGCTCCTGCCTTCGGATCAGCACGGTGCGCCGGCCGCAGCGTGCCGGTCACAGCGGCCATTGTGGGGTGAACCAACGGCAAAGGAAGACCTTTCTCTCTCTCTCTCTCTCTGTCCACTCTGCCTGTCAAAAAAAAAAAAAAAAAAAAGTTGACTATAAAAGACAATTTCTACCTACAAAATTGTGGGGAGCAATCCGGACTAGACTAAGTTGCTCGAATTAGGACTTATTCTATGCATCTGCTCTCCCACAATATGGCGCTGGGAGAGAAGTAAACAGCTTCCGCACAGCTGCCTCCAGTTCAACCAATTAACTGTAGGACTTGCTCCTGATTGGAGAGCAGCGTACTCAGCCGAGTTGGGATTGGCGGAGGAGGACTATAAAGGAGGAGAGAGACGGCATGCACCAGGAACATCTATGGGGAACATCTAAGGGAACCCGTGCAGCCCCCGAGAGACCCGGCCGGCGGTGTGCCGCTCCCCTGCGGAAGTGGGGAATGCGGCCAGGGGGAACTGCCCTTCCACGGAGGTGGAAGGGATAGTGGCCAACCCGGGAAGAACCAGCAGCAAACCCGGGGAGGGCCGAGCAGACGAAAGAACAGCGCAGGGTCCTGTGTTGCTCCTCCACGAAGAGGGGGAGCGACATAATGGTGCCGTGACTCGGATATGAAGCCTAGGTAGGGTCCTGTGTCGTTCCTCCACGAAGAGGGGGAGCGACATAATGGTGCCGTGACTCGGATAGGAAACCTGACTCGGATAGGAAACTTAGGAGGGAAGAAACGGGAAGAACTGGGAAATTACCGGAGAGAGAGATTAGCAAACAGCCTAGGGAAAAGCCGGACGAAAAAGGAGCCGGAAGAAGCTATTGAAAGCATAGGCATAGACTCGGATACGGACTACGGGGGGAAGCTGGGAGAAATCTCTAAGGTCGAAAGCGAAAGTGAAAGCTAGAACAAACAGACTCGGACGCGGACTGTGGGGAGAGGCCAGGAGAAATGAGGGAGGAATATCGTTGGAGGAAAGCTTGGGGAAACATACCGGGTAGAGAAAAATGTTAGGGAAATTGAAGCCGCGGGGGGCAGGCCAAGGCGGAAACGAAAGCCACTTTGGGATTCTCAAGTTAGCCCGGGAATAGGGGGCGAAAAGTTAAAACCAGAAGCTGAGACGCAAGCCAGATTGGGATCCGTCTGATTAGCCCGGGGAGCAAAGGACGGGAAGCCAAATCGTGGGGCGGAGACGTACGCTGGGTTGAATTCGCCAGGCTAGCCCGGGGAACTTGGATTGAATCCTAGTGGCGGAGACGCAAGCTACGCTGTGTTACTCGCGGAAGCCGCCGCGTGCAGAGAGAGCACGGGGCGTGAATAGATAGGGAACGCTGGCGTAGGCCGTGGTTCAGACGCGAAAGGGTTAAGCGTGGAGACCGCGGAGCCGCGCAAAGCCGGGAAGCTGCGCAGATGAGAGAGGCGCGCGGGCTGAAGCGGCGCAGAGCCGGGAACCCGCCGGCGGGGCGAGGTGCCGGGAAGCTGCGGGGATAAGAGAAACAGAAGTTTTAGAAGTAAAGTGAGAGAAATAGGAATGCTGGCAGACAGAAGTAAAATGGGAGAAATAGAAATGCCCGGAGATAGAGAAATAGAGAAAAATAAGGCCTCCCCTCAACATGCCAATTAGAAGGCTTGGATTCGGTCTGCCTGATTTAAGGCGGTAAGCGCCAGCAAAGCTCGACCAGAGTATGAGCTGCAGGTCACCGAAGATAGGCACGAACCAACACTAATAAGTCTCCCCCACAATACGGCAATGAGAAGGCTTGGATTCGGTTTGCCTGATAGGTTTTGTAAACACCTGCAGGCAGTTCTAGCAGAGCAGAGCATGCGCTGCAGGGCACCGAACACAGGCACGCATCAGCGCCTAAAAACCTCCTCACAATGGCGAAGAGAGGACCCGGATTCGGTTTTCCTGATTGATAGGACTTGTAAGAGCCTGTGGCAACTCTAGCAAGTACAGCAGAGTGTGTGCTGCGGGACACCGAAGACAGGCGCGTATCAACGCCAAAAAATAAAAAGAAAGGGGGATCTGTGGGGAGCAATCCGGACTAGACTAAGTTGCTCGAATTAGGACTTATTCTATGCATCTGCTCTCCCACAATATGGCGCTGGGAGAGAAGTAAACAGCTTCCGCACAGCTGCCTCCAGTTCAACCAATTAACTGTAGGACTTGCTCCTGATTGGAGAGCAGCGTACTCAGCCGAGTTGGGATTGGCGGAGGAGGACTATAAAGGAGGAGAGAGACGGCATGCACCAGGAACATCTATGGGGAACATCTAAGGGAACCCGTGCAGCCCCCGAGAGACCCGGCCGGCGGTGTGCCGCTCCCCTGCGGAAGTGGGGAATGCGGCCAGGGGGAACTGCCCTTCCACGGAGGTGGAAGGGATAGTGGCCAACCCGGGAAGAACCAGCAGCAAACCCGGGGAGGGCCGAGCAGACGAAAGAACAGCGCAGGGTCCTGTGTTGCTCCTCCACGAAGAGGGGGAGCGACATAATGGTGCCGTGACTCGGATATGAAGCCTAGGTAGGGTCCTGTGTCGTTCCTCCACGAAGAGGGGGAGCGACACAAAATGTTAAAAGTACTTTGAGTAGTAGTATGGGAAAGGGTTTTGGTACCCACTACTGATGCAGAGGAAGACTACTGTAGCTTGCAGAGAAAACTGGGTACTCTGAGTACAGCAGTGCCACCTGTTTCTCAGTCTTCTGAACAATGAAGTGTAAGTTTCCCCACTCTGCTCCCAAACACAGCCAGGACAAGGCTACCTGCTCTACCTGTCCCATCAGAAGAACATTGGAGATATGAAACTGAACTCTTAAGGGAGAAGTAACAATGATCTGGTCTACAATAAGACCTGGCTCCCCCCCCCCCTTTTTTTTTTTACTTTTTTTCTTTTTGACAGGCAGAGTGGACAGTGAGAGAGAGACATAGAAATCTTCCTTTGCCGTTGGTTCACCCTCCAATGGCCGCCATGGCTGGAGCGCTGCGGCCGGCGCACCACACTGATCCGATGGCAGGAACCAGATGCTTCTCCTGGTCTCCCATGGGGTGCAGGGCCCAAGGACTTGGGCCATCCTCCACTGCACTCCCGGACCACAGCAGAGAGCTGGCCTGGAAGAGGGGCAACCGGGACAGAATCCGGCGCCCCGACCGGGACTAGAACCCGGTGTGCCGGCGCCGCAAGGCGGAGGATTAGCCTAGTGAGCCACGGCGCCGGCGGCTTCCCCCCTTTTGACCATAAAAAAGAAAAGAATCTGAAGAAGGAATTTCTCCAAAAATAGCACTACCATTTAGCACCTAAAATGAATTAACTAATTGTATACCCCTCTGGAAAGCATTAATTTCTGAATTATCATTACCTTGGCTTGTGTTCATCTTTGTAAACAAAAAATATGCTCCAAAAATACCGATAAGTTCAGCTACTAAAACTCCTTTAAAGATCTTCTTTGCCAGTGGTTCCATTGAACGGGCCATCCTAAATTTAATAAATAGGTATAAAATTGAATGAGTATATTTAAACTTCCATTGCCAGTTCTAAAAAAAAAACCAGTTCACTATCAGTTCATCTGTATAGGAATAAGACCCGAAAGTCACAACATACTTGTTTTAGATGTGTCCCAAGAACCTATACTTTATCATTTGTTTAAGATGTACATACTTATTTTAAAACAGTTACAGTGATGCCTTTCACCCACTGGGTCACTAGATGGCCACAATGGCCAGCACTGGGCTGAAGCCAGGCACCAGAGGTTTTATCCAGGTCTCCCACGTTAGTAGCAGGGCCCCAAACAGTTGGGCCATACTCGGTTGCTTTTCCCAGGCCATTATCAGGGAACTGGCTCAGAAGTGGAGCAGCCAGGACCCAAACCAGTGCTCACATGGGATGTGAGCATCACAGGCAATGGCTTTACCTACTATGCCACAACACCAGCCCCTGTACCTGATTTTTCAATCTTCATGCCTAATGGGTATAATAAACCAAAGATACAAGATTGGGTAAAGTACAGAAAGGAGATTCAAGAAAGCACTGTGAAAAGAAAACTTTATGAAACAAAGTTTCTCATTGTCTATAAACACAGAATGGTGCAAGTTAGGTCAAATCAACTTTTTTAGCTGAACTTGAACCTAAGAGATGATTATTTAATGGGAAAGCTCTTTGTAAAGTGGCCTACAAAAGTAATGTTATTACATAAGGGAGTCTAGATGTTTCAGGCTGAAGTTCTTCAATAATGCATCTATCATACTATGTGCCATGCAAGCATTTTGCTAGAGCTGATTAGAAAGTTGAGCAACAAACTAATTGGTTCTGTTCCTGACTGTTCTGAGCTGTTTAGAACTTTAATTGCATCACCCAAGAGCATTGTGAAAAAGTGCACATTTGGGAGCCAACACTGTGGACTGTGGCACAGTGGTTAACATACCATTTGTGACACTGGTATCCCATATCTAAGACCCAGTTCAAGTCCTGGCTACTCTGGTTCTGGTAGGAAGTTAGAAATTAGCCTGTGTGTGTGTGAGGCGCCTGAAGTGAATATAGTTTCTTCAGAAAAGAAAGTAAGAGCCCAGTATGCACACTTCACAGTCCCGCCCAGACTCAGATAACTTTCCAGGTGGTATCAGCCCTCCCCCAGGAAAGCTCCCCAGGACACTCCTCTCTCCTCAGGACCAAATGGTACCTGTCCTGATAACATGGAGCAATGCAACCTTCACAGCCTTCCTCCAAGGCAGGCCCCTAGGGGACGCTCCTCTGCTCTGAGCCAGGAGGGCTCCCCAAACCTGGGGAGGAATTTTCCTAATTTATACTCAGCAAACCCTTTGTCTTGGAGGAGAAAGGGGTGGGAGTAAAGAGAAAAACGAGACCCTTTCTCTTAGAAGTCACAGTCTGAACAAAGACTGCGTGCTCGCTCAGCTCTCCTGAGCCACCCGCCTGGCCTGCCAGGTGTATTCTCTCCATTTACCCACGTAACCTCGCTTTCCGCAGTCTGAGTGGGCACTCTCTCTGTCCCTGCCATTCTGATGGATGCCCTGTCCCCAGTAAATCTTGCTACGTTGCTCTCTCGGGCCTGAATTCTTTCTTGTGCAGACAAGAAGCCCACCACTCATCTCAACTAACAGTTCCAATCCAGCTTCCTGCTAATGCATCCTGAGAGGCAGTGGATGATGGCTTGAGACCTGAAACCCTGCCACCACTATGGGAAACCCGGATGGGGTTCCAGACTCCTGGCTTCAGCCTGGCCCAGCCCAAGGCATTGTGGCCATTCGGGTTGGCCATGTGGGGAGTGAATTAGTGATGGAAAGTCTCTAGGCTGTTTTTGGTGTTTTTAATTCATTTTTAAAACACATCTTTTTAAAATGCATTCCTGAAGCTTTCAATTCTCCACTCCCCAACCTTCAAATTCTGACTTAGGAAATGTAGGATTGGAACCCCAGTAATCTGCCTGAAAACAGGCACTCCAAATCACTTTTATGCAAGAGCCCCATAGGCCAATCGGGAAGAACTGAGAACAATGACCCATTAAGTGTCAAAACTTAGATCGTGATTCTCTTCCTGTGCTAGCTAAAAAGTATTTTGGGGCAGGTGCTGTGCTGCAGCAGGTTAAGCCCCAGCTTGGGATGCATATACCCCATATCAGAGTGCCAGTTTGCGTCCCAGCCACTCCGCTTCCTAATGCGCAGGGGAAGCAGCGGATGATGGCTCAAGTACTTGAGTACCTACCACACACACGGGAGACCCAGATGGAGCTCCTGGCTCCTGGTTACAGCCTAGTCCAGTCCTTCTGGCCACTGTGGCCACTTGGGGACTGAACTAGGAGATGGAAGATTTTCTTTCTCTTCTCTTACTCTGCCTTTCAAATAAATAAATCAATAAATTTTAAAAAAAATATTTAAAGTATTTTGAGTCTTTTTCTAAAACTAAACAAGGAAAAAAGTTGCATAACAAGAAAATAGAATATAGGACTCACTGAATATATGAAGTGTGTAAATCCGAGTTTTTACTCTGCAGCTTTGTAAACCAAAGTCAAGAACAGGAGGACCACTAGTTCTTCATCTAATTTTGATATTTTCCTCTGTGTGCTCTGTCAGGTATGTAGTCTCTGCCAACAGGTGGTTCATTCTCTAATACAGCTCCAGCTCTCTGCTCACTGGTGGCCACTTAGTCTATTCTGATTCCTTTTCATGCCTGAGGGTGGAGGTAATTAAATATAATCCTTTTGAAGGATTATCTGCTAATCATTACTAGGTGTTCCTCTCCCCAAAAACCCCTTTTCTCATTTTATAGTGATTACCCTGGGGAGCAAATATGAACTCTTCACTGTTCTTAAATAAAGCGAAAGAGCCATACAAAAGAACTTACACATAATCAAGAGACAGGTCAGGGGCTCTACACCAAAAGCTCCCGTTTCAGGAATCCAAGTACAATACTGCTTTTCTTGGGAGAAAGCAGTGCTAAGTGTTCCAAGAAATAAAGCTCAGAGCAGATGCTGTCCACAGCAGGTTAAACCACTGCTTTTTACAGCGCCACCAGCCTTCCGTATCAGAGTGCCAGAGTCAACACGGCCCACGTGGCTGAGCCCCTGCCACTCATATAGGAGACCAGTACGGAGTTCCTGGCTCCTAACCTTGCCCTGGCCCAGCCTCAGCTGCTGCAGGTATTTGGGGGAGTGAACCAGTGGGTGGAAGATCTTTGTCACTCTGACTTTCAAGTAAATAATTTTTTTAAAAAAAGAAAAAGCTCAAAAGTACTGTATAATAAAGATTTACTTAAAAGGATATGTTTATAGATAAAATACAGATGTTTTACCTTCCAAATCCCTCAGCTTCAGGACATGTGTTTCTTTTCATTTTCTTTTTAAAGATTTATTTTTACTTGAAAGAGTTACACAGAGAGAAAAGGAGAGGCAGAGAGAGAGAGGTCTTCCATCCGCTGGTTCACTCCCCAATTGGCTGCAATGGCCGGAGCTGCGCTGATCCGAAGCCAGGAGCCAGGAGCTTCTTCCAGGTCTCCCACATGGGTGCAGGGGCCCAAGGACTTGAGCCATCTTCTACTGCTTCCCCAGGCCATAGCAGAGAGCTGGATCAGAAGTGGAGCAGCCGGGTCTTGAGCCGGTGCCCAAATGGGATGCTGTCACTCCCCGCTATGCAGCAGCGCCAGCCCCAGGCCATGTGTTTTAACAAAGGATAAAGCCCACTTAGTAAAAACCATCAGGGCACACAAGTCCACGACAAAGTCAGGTTTGTGAACCGTGGGAAGGAAACACCGAAGACTGTCTTCTCCACACAGGACAGACAGGACTGTGGAGTGGGGGTGACCTTGAAAACGACGCGCTCTCCAGCAGGCTCAGAGAACAGCGGGGCTGGCTGGCGGGCAGACGCGCAGTGCCAGCCGGGTGCGGCGCTGGTCGCCACGACTGGCCACGGGGTCCTCTCCGCGCGGAAGCGGCCTGCTCGGCGCTGGCTTTGCTCACAGCCAAGCCGCCACAGTCCGGACGTGGACAACCACGTTCCCCAGCACCACGCCCTGGCTCTGATGAACAAGTCTTCCAGGAGCCAGCGGGCGGGAACCAAGCAACCAGCCCCGCGTCCCATCCTGGCCCCCACCCCGCTCCCGACTATCCCTGGCGCTGCCCCCGCTCCGGAGACCCCAGAACGCCGGGGCCCGCCGGGCAGCGCGGCCCAGCGACCCGGAAACAGCTCTGCCCGTGCCGCACTCCTTCCGGCGAACTGAAGCCAGAGACACCCAAGTATGCTCCGCTCGACCCCAGAACCGCAGCGTGGCTTTCCCCCCAACAGACCTACCAAAAACACCCACCCCTCTTGCTCCACGGAGGAGCCCACGTCGCAAGCCCCAAAGGCGGGGGGGTCTCACCTGAAGCGCGCGTCCGAGGAGCTGCGCATGCGCGAAGGGTTGCAGCGCCCGCCCCTCCGCGTCGGCACCGCCCCCTCGGTCCAATTTTCCTGACATTGGGGGCTGGGCGCGCTATTGCTCTTCATCCGCCCAGCGTCTTAGGTAATGGGTGCTGTGAGTAGTTCTTTTTCCAGGAAAGGCGAGAGGTTTACCCTTGCCGGCAGTCACACAACCGGTGAGAGAAAGAACTCCAATCTGAACCCAGCACACCGACTCGTGAGACTGTCCCTGATCCTTTTTCTACTCCCTAAAGCCAAAATGAGATCGTCTCAGAGGGTCAGCCACGTGGGCGTCACCTGGGAACTGTTCGGAAGGCAGACCTCCCGAAGGAAATCCGCACTTCAGCCGGATCCCTGGCCAGTCTGTTTGCAGATGAAAGTGAAAAAAAAACGCGGCCTCTGCTGCCCACTAGGCACGAAGAGGAAGAGGAGAGCGAGGCCAACGGGAGGAGGAGGAGGAGAGATCGGGAACATCAAGGCCCACTGAGGCACCCCGTGCAGAGCCGAGCCTAGGGTACCCTGAGGAGTTACACACACGTCAGCCTTCGCTCAAGTTGTAGCCTCGTGAGGGTAGAATGTATAGACAAACAGTCGAGGAGAAGTACGCAGTACTGAGAGGCGTGCCACGGTTCCGAGGCTCTGTGGAGGTTTTAAAGAAGTGATGGTTGGGTAGGGGCTCCAGGTTCTAGTCCCGGTTGCTCCTCTTCTAGGCCAGCTCTCTGCTGTGGCCCGGGAAGGCAGTGAAGGATGGCCCAAGTGCTTGGGCGCCTGCACCCCATGGGAGACCAGGATAAGTACCTGGCTCCTGGCTTTGGATCTGCATAGCTCCGGCCGTAACGGCCATTTGAGGGGTGAACCAACGGCAAAGGAAGACCTTTCTCTCTCTCTCTCCCTCTCACTGTAACTCTACCTGTCAAATAAATAAATAAATAATTAAAAAAAAAAAAAGAAAAGAAATGATGGTTGGGGGCCAACGCTGTGGCTTAACGGGCAAAGTTGCTGCCTGCAGTGCTGGCATCCCATATAGAAACTGGTCCAAGACCCAACTGCTCCACTTCCAATCCAGCTCTCTGTTTATGGCCTGGGAAGGCAGCAGAAGATGCCCCAAGTGCTTGGGCCCCTACACCCACAAAGGACACCCGGAAGAATCTCCTGACTCCTGGCTTCAGACCAGCCCAGTTCTGGCTGTTTTGGCCACGTGGGGAGTGAACCAGTGGGTGGAAGACCTGTCTCTCTCTCTCTCTGCCTCTGCCTCTCTGTAACTCTGCCTTTCAAATAAATAAATAAATCTTAAAAAAAAAAAAAAGTGATGGTTAAAGCTATCTCTGTCACTGTCAGGTGAAGAAAGTGCCTTTTTATTTAAAAAAAAAAAAAAAGTTCCCCAAAACTTTTACCCACTTTGGACAGTCATGAAGAAACACAATTAGACTAAGTGGGTAGTCCAATAGCACAAAACATGCAAGTTAATAACTGTTTCTTTTGGAGTTTTCATTTCCTTGTGAAGGCTCCTACAGCAAGTAAAATCATTATGCTGTTCAATTGTTCATCTGTTTTTTGCCATAGAGGCCTTGGGCATGAATATAGGAGGGTGAAGAAGGGATTTTCTCCTCCCTACAGAAGCCAAAGTACTGCCAGAATAACCATCCTGAATCCTGAATGCTTCCAGCATCCACTGTCCCATGGACTCCATCCCTGACTTCTCACAGGGTTCAACTCTAAAGTATGGGCCAGTTTGTCGTAAACTCCAGAAATGCAAAGAGGTTACACCCCCTCCCTCCACAAGTAAATTCCACTCCCCAACTACACTAGAAAGTAGCATTTCTCCAGTAAAAAGAGAAGAAAGTACAACTTTATCACGAGGGGACCGTGCTTTGTAAGGAGGAAAGAGTACAAGACAGGCTGCCTGGCAGCCCCTGAAAACCAGCCATGGGCCAATTGGCTCACAGGAGCCCTGTGTTACTGTAGCCCCATGCTCCAGACTTGCTAATCTCACCTGATTTCAACCACCCTAGAGATACTTTTACATCTGTTTTCTCATTTTGGATGAGGGGAATAAATCTTTACCCTGGAAGAAGAGAGAAAAGAGAGGAGAAAGGGAAAGAAGGAAAAAGAAGAGGTAAGAGGGAATGATGATGATGGTTTTAATAGCAAGGAAAGAAACTTTTTCTAATACAGCTGCTTCCCAAAGCATGAGGCAGGCCATGGCAGATGAAGTATTGGAGTTTGTGGCCATTTATCCAAACAGGGACACAAAGAGCGGATGGAAAACTGGGGTTTCATATAACAGGAGACCCAGCTGCACTCACAGGCAGGCCATGGCAAATGCATCGTGTTATTAATGGTTACTTTGGAGCCATCTGTGCTGTGTCCCTCCATCATACATACCAGACAATTCAGAGTGGAGAATGTAGAATCGTAAGGTGACACATTGACCTAAGCAAGAATCAGAGCTCACATTACCAACCCCAAAGAGCCCCCAAAGCCTCCTGTAATTACAGGCAGTGGTGCCAGAACAAGGTCCAGCCCATTGTCCTACTTGCCAAGAAGCAAGCAAACAACCAAGGTTGAATGAATGTCTTAAATTCTATCTTACCTGGGGGAAACAAAGACTCTTTGTAATGTAAGGGCTAATCCCACTAAGTAGATTGGCAGGGAGTCCAGTCCAGCTCCTCTTTTCTTTTTTGGAAGGGAGATTCTAAAATATACCTTCCCAATTCCAGTGAATGTTATCCTACTATTATGTAAGGTAATAGGGCCTTCAAGGGGGAGTGGTACATGAAACTATAAGAATACTAAGACAGTTAGATGTTCTGATTTTACCTCTTTCACAAGCTGGTTTTTGTTTCTCCCCTTAATACATATTCCCAAATATAACCAAACCCAGACACCTGTTCTTAGCTAGCGACCTTCTCTGGTCAATTCTTCCCCCATTGTAAAATGGAAACAGGAAGCTGCTCTCCCACTTTCACTGCTTCAGTAAGATGCTTTCTGTTGATGTAAAAAATTTCCTCAGTTCTAAGATGTAGATTTTTCTAGATATTTACACTTCTGTGATGCATATATATGTAGTTTTTGTACAAAATGCTGTTATGAAACACAATCTTCTAGAACCCGGAAGTTTAATATATCCCTTGTGATCATAAAAATATCTCTTCTCTTGGGACAGGCATTCGGGACAGTAGTTAAGATGCTGCTTGGGGCACCCTCATTCCTTGCCAGAGTGCCTACATTTGAGTCCCCAGCTCCACTTCCAATTCCAGCTTCCTGCTAATGTGTACCCTTGGAGGCAGTGAGTGATGGCTCAAGTACTTCAGTCCCCTACACCCATTTGAGAGACGAGGATTGAGTTCTTGGCTCCTGACTTTGGCATGGTTTCTCCTTGGCTGTTGTGGGAATTTGGGAGTGAACCAGCAGATGGGAGCTCTGTGCATTCTTGCTCTCTCTCTCGCTCTCTCTCCGTGTGTGTGTGTGTGTGTGTGAGATCTCTTCTCAGAAGATAAGATTTCTTTTTTTCCAATGAAAAATCCATGGTCTTGTTTTCTTGCAGCAGGTAAGGAAGAACCAAAGAACTCCTTGGCACTAACAACTAAACCCATGATCTATGTGATCTCACTGTAGCTGTCCTTTTTTTAAAAAAAAATATTTATTTTAATTATTTGAAAGCAGAGTTACAGAGAGGCAGAGGCAGAGAAAAAGAGAGAGAGATTTCATCAGCTGGTTCACTCCCAAAATGACTGCAATGGCTGGGACTGAGCCAGACTGAAGCTATGAGCCAGGAACTTCTTTGGGTCTCCCATGTAAGGGCAAGGGCCCAAACCCTTGGGTCATCTTCTGCTGCTTTCCCAGGCCATTAGCAGGGAGCTGGATTGGAAGTGGAGCAGCTAGGAATCGAACCAACACCATATGGGATGCTGGCACTGCAGGCAGCAGCTTTAACCACTACATCACAATGTTGGCCCCTGTAACTATCTTTTTGCCAGCTCTTCCCAAGGCTGACTCTCAACCTCCAGAAGTTATTTTTTTAAAGATTTATTTTATTTATTTGAAAGACAGAGTTACAGATAGAGGTAGAGACAGAGAGAGAGGTCTTCCATCCGATGGTTCACTCCCTAGATGGTGCAACAGCTGGAGCTGCACCGATCTGAAGCCAGGAGCCAGGAGCTTCTTCCAGGTCTCCCATGCAGGTGCAGGGGCCCAAGGACTTGGGCCATCTTCCACTGCTTTCCCAGGCCATCGCAGAGAGTTGGATCGAAAGACAAGCAGCCAGGACTAGAACTGGTGCCCATATGGGATGCTGTTGCTTCAGGCCAGGGCTTTACCCCGCTGCACCACAGTGCCGGCCCCCAGAAGTTATTTAGACCCTAGAAGCCTTAACTAACCCAGCTATAAAATATTAATAATAGAACTACCAATTTTATAGGCTTGTTATAAAATTACATGACATCCTCCATGTAAGAAAAGCAGGCTGGCAGGGAGTGTACATGCAAGTGATCGATATTGTTAGCTATTATTTCAACTGATATATGAATTACTGTGCAGCTAGATAAGGCATAACTAGGGGATAACTTCTCAGCATTGGTCTAGAGGAAGGTAATATGGTTTAAAAGAAAACCCTATGTTCTTAGAAAAATGGAAAAAGGATAAGGAGAATGATGTTCGGAAGACAATGAGAGAAAAATAAAAAGAAAAGTACAGTATATGTTTATGAAAACTTGTCTTATGCGGCTAGCATTGTGGTGCAGTGGGTTATGCCACAGCCTGTGACACTGGCATTCCATGTCACAGCACAGGTTTTAGTCCCAGTTACTCTACTTCTGATCCCTACTATGTGTCTGGGAAAGCAGCAGAGGATGGTGCAAGTTCTTGGGTTCCTGCACCCATGTGGGAGACCCAGATGGAGTTCCAGGCTCCTGGCTTTAGCCTGGCCCAGCCCCTGCCATTGCAGCCATTTTAGGAATGAAGCAGAAGATAGAAGACCTCTCTCCCTGTAATTCTGCCTTCCAAATAAATAAATAAATCTGAAAAGAGAAAATAGAAGAAAGAAAATTTGGTTTATGCCAAAGAGGGTAAGTTTTTTAAATAAAGATTTTATTCATTTAGTTGAAAGGCAGGGTTACACAAACACACAGAGAGAGAGAGAGAGAGAGAGAGAGAGAGAGAGAGAGAGAGAGGTTCAGGAGTTTCTTCCAGGTCTTCCACGTAGGTGCAGGGGCGCAAGCACTTGGGCCATCTTCTGCTACTTCCCCAGGCACATTAGCCGGGAGCTGGATTGGAAGTGGAGCAGCCAGGGATAGAAGCCGCACCCATGTGGGATGCCAGCACTGCAGGTGGTGACTTAGCCCACCACACTACAGCACCCACCCTGAAAGAGAGTAAATTTTAACCCAGAATAGGCACCAAGCAGGACATAGGCTAAACTCCTATAACAAAGGGGCTCCAACGCTTCAGGAGCTCCAACAAGAAACACAGCTGTGCTCTTTCACTTATACTTCAGTTGTCTTCAGGATAGGTTGTGGGAGGGAGGCTCCGTGTCTGGAGGAACTCCAATAGTCAGGCTTCCTCCATCCCATTGGCTGTTTCCCTCCAAATTAGCAAGTCTGGTATGTCAACATCCTGTCTGCCATCCAGCTGTGGGAAAGGGGATGGAGAAGAATTAGAGTCATCAACATTTTGTTTTAGGACACACATGATCCAGAATTTTCACAAATCACTTCTGCTCACTCTCCGCCAGCCACAGGGCCTCACTGTGCTACAAGGGAGATGGGAATTGCAGGCCAACTTGCCCAAGGAAAAAGAGCAGAGTGGCTGCTGGTGAAAGACTGCCTCCCACACCCAACCCGACTTGAACCAGCATGGAACTGGGCTCAGAAGCCTGGAGACACCATTGCATTGGGTTCCCACTTACAACATGGATCTCTTCTACAAACCACAGGATTCCATTGTTAAATAGGTATAGAAGGGCAGCAATCACTATCCCCCTTTTATATCAACTTTGGAGCCACAGTATTATTAGCATAGAATAACAGAGTCAAGATTCAAACACAGTTTTGTAGACTTTGAAATCTATTAAGCCAATAAGTGGCAAATCTGAGGCTAGTGCCCAGGATTGCCCCCAAATCCTGGCTCTTTCCCACTCAACTAAATTGTCTCACAATCCCATTTGTCACAGCACGTAGGATGTGTGTGGAAAGCTATCGACCCTGGAGAGAACTGAAGTCTCATTCTGTGAATGTGAAAGTTGTATGCCTAATTCAATTATGTACCTGTTTGTTAGATATTTAATATCTATTATCTTCTATCAGGAGACTCCATTCTTGCTTCCATTGGGTAGGTTGCCTGAGTGGTAATGTAATCAGTCCTTGGGCTAATATTCCCTGATCCTCAGCCTGGGTTGCACCTGTGCTTTACCTATTGTCAGAGAAGGATATACAAGGGTGGAGGGGGGCGGATGAGAATTCAATGATTTATTTTTCTTGTGAATGGGAGGAGCCATTCCAGCCTCTGAAAAATTGCATAAAAAGCAGCCACTGCCCCTGGAAAACCACAGAACAAATTCATCAGCAGGAAGCCAGCATGGCTGAAAAGTCCAAATTTATTGAGTACATTGATGAAGCTTTGGAAAAATCCAAAGAAACTGCACTTTCTCACTTATTTTTCACCTATCAGCAGATTCCTTATCCAGTCACCATGTGTGCCTTAGAAACTTTCAAAGCCCTGGACGCCTTTGAAGCCAGAAGCGACGACATTGTGCTAGCATCTTATCCAAAGTGTGGTAAATGACCTCATTCTACTAGTGCATTTTTTTTAAAATAATGAGTAAATTAGAGAAGGTTCAAGACAAAGGTGGGATGAAGGCAGCTCACCTCTGCATGAAGCTGGCTGGAGATGAGTAAGCAGGACGGCCAGGATGCTTGAGTGTAAAACTTGTAAAATGGAGAAGTACAACTGCTAGACTTAAAACTGTCAGTGTCGGAGGGAAGAGTCTCTGTGGAAAGGGCATGAGGGATGGTGGAAGGTGGAACTGGAAAGAAGAGCTATGAAGGTGAGGAAGTCCAAGTGCCATGGAGTACAGACGGTGGTAGAGATTTTCATCTTAATTTTTGACTTCAGACAAAAGCATGGCTACTTCTACCATATGATGATTTCCATGTTATAGATTATTTTGCGGGATGAAACATCAAATCATTTTTACAAAAGTCTCTCAGCAGTGAAAGACAAGACATTAAGAGTGTAAACTACCCTAGTTTACAACTGCTACTTTTGAGTCTCTCAACTGCTATTTCATCTCTAAATGTTTATTAAAGTCAGCTTCATTTAATATTTTTCTTCTAACTGATGCTGGTTTTTTTAAATAAAGATTTAGTTTATTTATTTGAAAGACAGAGTTATAGAGAGAGGGAGAAACAGGGAGAGAGAGAGAGGTCCTCCATCCGCTGGTTCACTCCCCATTTGGCCGCAACAGCAGAAGCAGTGCTGATCCAAAGCCAGGAGCCAGCAATTTCTTCCAGGTCTCTCACACAGGTGCAGGAGCTCAAGAGCTTGGGCCATCTTCTACTGTTTTCCCAGGCCATAGCAGAGAGCTGGATCAGAAGTGGAGCACGCAGGGCTCAAACCGGCGCCCATATGGGTTCCTGGCACCATAGGCTGGGGCTTTAACCCAATGTGTCACAGCACTGGCCCCAATGCTGGGTCTTTATAAAAGCAAAATTATATACTATTGTAGAAAATGCTAATTAAAGTAAAATAATATATAGATGTAAGCAATCATGTCTATAATTCAACATTGTTAAAAGGAACATATTCTAGATTGAAAAAAAAGCATTAAATGATCTATGAGAAATAAGATAAGTTGAATTTCATACTGATGTGAGTGAATGCTGTTTTCTTTTTTTTTTAATTTTTTTTTTTTTTTGACAGGCAGAGTGGACAGTGAGAGAGAGAAACAGAGAGAAAGGTCTTCCTTTGCCGTTGGTTCACCCTCCAATGGCCGCCACGGCCGGCGCGCTGCGGCCGGCGCACCGCGCTGATCCAATGGCAGGAGCCAGGAGCCAGGTGCTTTTCCTGGTCTCCCATGGGGTGCAGGGCCCAAGCACCTGGGCCATCCTCCACTGCACTCCCTGGCCACAGCAGAGAGCTGGCCTGGAAGAGGGGCAACCGGGACAGAATCCGGCGCCCCAACCGGGACTAGAACCCGGTGTGCCGGTGCCGCTAGGCGGAGGATTAGCCTAGTGAGCCGCGGCGCCGGCCGTGAATGCTGTTTTCTAAAAAACTCTTTCTTTCTGTAGCCCAGGTTATCTCAAACACAGAATCATTACATGCGCATACCAGGGAAAGTAGATTTTAATTTTTGCTAGGTTTATGCTAAAGTAGTATGCTTTTATAATATCAAGACTCCTTAAAGAGCTTTTATTGTGTGATTTTTCTTATAGGTTCAAACTGGATTCTACACATTGTCCGTGAATTACTGTCTGTGGTTTCCGAAAAAAAATATGAATATTCAGAATTCCCTGTTCTTGAATGTGGGGACTCAGAAAAATATCAGGTTAGTACAAGCAGCCTTTAAACTTACAGCAAATCCTCATTGGAAGAGTTCTTCCATTTTAGAGATACTGTAGTTTGAGGTTCAGAAAGTGCAGCACTAATACTTAATAGCAGTTTATTGTGTGATTACTATATTCTCAGTACTTTTCAACTGTTATCTTATTTTACAGCACAATGATCTTATTAACATTTCACAAAAGATAAGACTGTTACACACTTGCCCAAGGTCACATGGCTAAGAAATGGCAGAGTCGAGATTTGAACCCAGGCTTCCTATTTTAAACTGTTAATGACTACATCGTGCAACCAGCCATATTATCACTATTATATTATTATTTTTAAGTAGAAAGAAAAATAAGCTTAGAAACCTTAGAAATGAATTGAAATTAAAAAAAAAAACTTTTATTTCTGAAGACAAATGGGCAGAATGCTAATGGGAAACCCCAATCTTTTCTTTTTTTTTTTTTTTTTCCTTTTTAAGGATTCTAATTTATTTGAGAGATAGAGTTACAGAAAGAGAGAAGGAGAGACAGAGAGAGGTCTTCCATCCTCTGGTTCACTCCCTAGATGGCCACAAAGCCAGCAGCCAGGAGCCTCCGCCAGATCTTCCACACAGGTGCAAGGACCCAGGCAAGGCTTTGGGCCATCTTCCACTGCTTTCCCAGGCCATAGCAGAGAGCTGGCTGGAAGAGGAGCAGCCAGGACACAAACCCACAGCTACGTGGGATGCTGGTGCCACAGGCAGGGGCTTAACTTACTATCCCACCGTGCTGGTCCCCTCAGTCCTTTCTTAATGAGACTTCCGTTTTGATTTTCCTGTTTCAGTTAGGACTTTGGTGTGTGTGTGAAGGATGGAAAACAATGCAGTAGTAGCTAAGAGTGTGAACTACTTCCACATGTGAAGGGAGTGACAAGTCACCCCAGCTGTCATTACTCACCTTATCAATCTCACTAATTGGGAGCTGGGTGTGGGACAGAATGTTCTGCCCCACCCTGGGGAGGTGAGAAGGAAGGATCTGCCTCGGGCCATTTGTGCCTGGACAGGGCAGCGGCAGGAGGAAGACCATCCTCTCCTGACTGCTGACACAGCAGGATGCACTGGGAAGGTAAGGCTGTGTTCTCCACAAAACTTCAGACGTGGCCACCAACAGGCAGACAGAACCCAGTTACTGGTGAAGGCACTGGGCTGGGACTTAGGGAACGGTTTCTGGAAGGTGACTGAGACAGTGGGTAGGATGACAAACACGAAATCTGGAACCTAGGTGCAAGGAAGCCCATTTCCACGGATTAGACCAAAGTTGCGCAAAAACACATTGTCGCTGAGGTAGGTGTTCAGGGATTGACGGCAGCGAGCGGAGGTTGCTGCGGAATCCTGGGTCTGGTTGGCAGCCCAGGGACCTCAGGCGTCCCGAGACAGGCCAGCAGCCACCTCAGGGCCTCGGCTCCGGACCTGCGCGGTTCGCTGATACTAAGGCATGTTGGTTTGAGGCTCAGTCAGGACAGGCTCAGGAATACCGCAGGATGGTGGACGAGGGCTTTGCAAAGCTTTCCCCTGGGTAAGAAATGGGGGAACCGACATTTCTCCTGTCTGGCCTTTGAACAACCTTTTCCCTAACAAGAGTGCTTGACAGCACCTGACAACCTGAAGAGTTGCTAACATTCGTCCAGCTTCCCACCTTCTCTTAAAAACTTGCTGCATGATGGCCACAAATCATTTTACTTGTTATTAGTCACCTTCCCTGTACAGCTTTCCCTACTGTGTTCACCTGTGTTGTTAACAATCACTGAGATAAGCAGGTTTTTCTCATGATTGAAGTAGGGTTTAGGAGGCTAATATGTAAGTTTTTGTATTATTTGGTTTTCTTTTAAAGACTTGTATTTATTTGAAAGACAGAGTTACAGAGAGAGGTAGAGAGAGAGAGAGAGGTCTTCCATCCGCTGGTTCACTCCCCAGATGGCCACAATGGCTGCACCGATCTGAAGCCAGGAGCCAGGAGCTTCTTCTGGGTCTCCCACATGGGTGCAGGGGCCCAAGGACTTGGGCCATCTTCTACTGCTTTCCCAGGCCATAGCAGAGAGCTGGATCTGAAGAGGAGCAGCCAGGACTCAAATCGGCGCCCATATGGGATTCCGGCGCTTCAGGCCAGGGCTTTAACCTGCTGCGCCACAGTGCCAGCTCTTTTTGCATTATTTGTAAGATTATTTTGCAGGGAAGTTTATTTCTAAACCAGTAAAGTCAAACAAAACTTAGCTTCCTGTGTATTGCTCACTGATCCCGGAAGAGCTTTTGTTCTTGATCAGAGTTGGACAGGCCAGGAGGCCGCCTGACTTAAACACCCAGTAGCCTTAGGAGCTTTCTGTCTCCTCCAGGGAAGCCTGGTGCTCTTGTTCACAAGCCAGGGTTCTTTCTGTTTCACCAACTGCTTTATTTTATCTATCTATTTGAGCAGAGAAATACCGGCGGACAGGGAGCTCCCATCTGCTGGTTTACTCTCCAAGTGTGCACAACAACTGGGGCTGGACCAGGGCCAAAACTGACTACCTGAAACCCAGCCCAGGTCTCCCACCTGGGTGGCAGAACTCAAATACAACTGCCTCCCAAGGTCTGTATTAGCAGGAAGCTGGAGTCAGGCAGGGAACTCAAGATCTGCCATGTGGAACTCAGGTGTCTTTGCTAGACTAAATGGCCCCTGTTGGACCAACAACTTCAGTGGGAATATAAAGCCAAGCCTTGCCCTGTCTTCTGGTCCTTGCATTCTAAATCTTGGCTCTATTTATGAAAGAGAGATGCACTTATTTCCTGTGAAAAGAATTTCCAACTAAATAAGAAGGCAAGGAATCATCTAAATTAACATTAAAATGTTATACAAAGTGAGTCGGGCATAGGATCCTACCTCCAGGGTTTCTGGAAAATATTTTCACTCAATGTAGTACCTTGTGTCTTGATACCCACACTTTATCAAAAGTGTTTATTTGGGGCCTTTTTTGTGGCACATCAGGTTAAGCTGCCACTGGTATCCTGTAGCAGAGTGCTCGTTTGGATCCAGACTGCTCCACTTCTGATCCAGCTCCCTGCTAATGCATCTGGGAAAAACATCAGATGATGGCCCAAGTTCTAGGATCCTGCTACCCATGAAGGAGACCAGGATGGAGTTCCAGGCTCCTGGCTTTGCCCAGGTCCAGCCCCAGCTATTGTGGCCATGTGAGGAGTGAACCAGCAGATGGAAGATCTCTCTGTGTTTCTTTCTTGATGCCCCCTATGCCTTTCTTTAAACAAACAAACAAAAATAAATCTTTTAAAATGTTTATTTTTTTCTTCACATATTTTAAAGGATTTTTGGTATTTTTCTTGTAAATTTATTACATCTATGACCAAAGATATTTTGTTTAAAATATTTATTTATTTATTTATTTGAAAGGCAGGATTACAAAGAAGAGGAAGACAGAGACAGAGAGAGATCCATCTGCTTGTTCACCCCCCTAAATGGCTGCAACTACCTGGGGCTGGACCAGGCTGAGCCAGGAGTCAGAAGCTTCTTCCAGGTCTTCCATGTGGATGCAGGGGCCCAGGGACTTGGAAAATGTACACATTTGTGCTGCTTTCTCTGGTACATTAGCAGGGAACTGGATTGGAAGTTAAGCAGCTGGGGCTCCAACAGGTGCCCATATGGGATGCCAGCACTGCAGGCAGCTGCTTTACCCGCTATGCCACAGCACCAGCTCCCAGTCCCCTGGATATTTTTCTTTTTAGTAACTTTACCCTTCCTCATGTGTCTTTTTTTAAAATTTGTTTATTTGAAAGACAGAGTGACAGAGAGAAAGGATGAGAGAGAGCAAAAGAGCACGTTCTTCCATCCATTGGGTCACTCCCTAAGTGTCCAAAATAGCCAGGCCTAGCCCAGGCTGAAGTCAGGGACCAGGAACTACATCTGGATCTCCTACATGGGTGGCAGGGGCCCAAGTACTTGGGCCATCTTCTGCTGCCTACCCAGGCACATTAGCAGGGAGCTGGATCAGAAGCACAGTAGGGGCTGGCGCTGTGGCGTAGCGGGTAAAGCCGCTGCCTGCAGTGCCGGCATCCCATATAGGCACTGGTTCTAGTCTTAGCTGTTCCAAATCTAGCTCTCTGTTATGGCCCGGGAAAGCAGTAGAAGATGACCCAAGTGCTTGGGCCCTGTACCTGTGTGGGAAGACCCAGAGGAAGCTCCTGGCTCCTGGCTTTGAATCAGCACAGCTCCAGCCATTGCAGCCAATTGGGAAGTGAACCAGTGGATGGAAGACCTGTGTGTGTGTGTGTGTGTAATTATGACTTTCAAATAAATACATATTTTATTAAAAAAAAAAAAAGGGGGTCAACACTGTGGTGTAGTGGGTTAACGCCCCAGTCTGAAGCACCAGCATCCCATATGGGTGCCGGCTCGAGTCCCGGCTGCTCCACTTCTGATCCGGCTCTCTGCTATGGCCTGGGAAAGCCGTAGAAGATGGCCCAAGTCCTGGGGCCCCTGCACCTGCATGGGAAGAAGCTCCTGACTCCAGGCTTTGGATTGGCGCAGCTCCGGCTGTTGCGGCCAACTGGGGAGTGAACCAGAGGATGGAAGACCTCTCTCTTTCTCTCTCTCTCTGCCTCTCCTCTCTCTGTGTAACTCTTTCAAATAAATCAATTTTAAAAAAGAAGCAGAGTAGCTAGGTTTTATTTCTTTTTTCCTTTTTTTTTTTTTTTGACAGGCAGAGTGGACAGTAAGAGAGAGAGACAGGTCTTCCTTTTCTGTTGGTTCACTCCCCCAATGGCCACTGCAGCCGGCGCACTGCACTGATCCAAAGCCAGGAGCCAGGTGCTTTCCCTTGTCTCCCATGGGGTGCAGGGCCCAAGCACTTGGGCCATCCTCCACTGCACTCCCGGACCACAGCAGAGAGCTGGCCTGGAAGAGGAGCAACCAGGACAAGAATCCGGCACCCCAACTGGGACTAGAACCCGGTGTGCCTGTGCCGCAGGTGGAGGATTAGCCTAGTGAGCCATGGCGCCAGCCAAAAAAGAAGCAGAGTAGCCAGGTTTTGAACCAGCACTCTGACTGCTAGCCTCTCTCCTGTGACTTTATGTGGTTTTTGACCATGTGGTTTAATGGAAACGGCACCCCATATCTTAATCTGAAAATTACCACCTGTGAACTTTTATACAAAGCATTTAAAACCTCAAAGCCTGTTCTTAATCTCTAAAATGTTGCTTCCAATATCTACCTGAGAGGATTGTCATGAATTAATGCAAAAGTACTTCAAATACTAAAAAGTAGAATTGGATATACGTATTATCACTACTAATCACCACTTGGACCCATATCATTTATTTAAATTGCATTTTTAAAAATATTTATTTATTTGAAAGGCAAGGAGGGAGGGAGAGAGAGAGAGAGAGAGAGAGATCTTCTATCTACTGGTTCACTACCCAGATGGCTGCGACAGCTGGGACTGGGTCATGCTGAAGCCAGAAGCCAGGAACTCTATCCAGTCTCCCATGTGGTTGGCTGGGGCCTAAATACATGAGCCATCATGCACCACTTTCCAGGTGCATTAGCAGGGAGCTGGATGGGAAGCAGAGTTTATAGGATGCTGGTGTCACAAGCAGTGGCTTAACCTACTGTGCCACAATGCCAGCCCATGCGATCCGTTTTTAAAGCCTCATTTCGCCTCCTTGCTTGGGGTGGGACCTCCACTAAGATTTTACAGAACACTTACGAAGTGTCTAAATACTGTGTTATCACTTGAAATGAGTGAGTGTGTTGTAGCCGTGACCAAGCAGTCCGTGACTTCTACAAATGTGGAACTGAAAACTTGACACTGCAGTTCCCTATGTAGCGTATACTAAGTGCTGAAACCCTTACTCCTGGCGGATGAAATAGGTAACTTTGTTTTCAGAATGGTCAGTAGAAATAGATTACAGAAGAAGAATCAATCACTCTGTACTTATCAAAGGAAACCATCTCCCCATAGGGCTTATACTGCTAAGAATTTCTTTCATGGACCTTTTCTGAGATGGTTAAGTAATTGTGCTTTCAGATTCCGGTGGGATGTCTGATTGCATGGAGTTTTAGTTGGTAAGAAAAATAGATCTAAATTTTTAAAAAATATTTATTTGAGAGGCAGAGTTACAAACACAGAGAGGGAGAGACAGAAAGATCTTCCATCCACTGGTTCACTCTCCAAATGGCCGCAACCACCAGAGCTGGGCTGATCCAAAGCCAGAAGCCAGGAGCTTCTTCTGGGTCTCCCATGCAAGTGCAGGGGCCTAAGCTCCTGAGCCAAATTCCACTTCCCTTCCAGGCCATCAGCAAGGAGTTGGATTGGAAGTGGAGCAGCCCGGACTTGAACCAGCACCCACATGGGATGCCAACACTGCAGGCAGCAGCTTTACCCACTACACCACAGCGCCTGCCCCAAAAGTCATTGTTTTCTTATATGACAAAAAGAGATTAGGAAATGGTAAGCAGGATCCAATGAGGAAGTTCAAGAGGAAGATTTTAATTATTTATTCATGACTCTTCATTTCTCAAGGAGAAAGAGCAGATACTGTGACAGCAGTGCTTGAAACAGCTATTTAGGTACCAAATTTAGGAGTAGTCCACCACACTCACACATGCACACACACGCATGCACACGCAGCGTGCACCACTTTAACTTTGATGTGTGTATTTTTAAGAGAATGAAGCTGTTTCCATCTCCAAGGATTATGACAACTCACCTCCATTATGACAAATTACCAGGTTCCATCATCAAGAGTAAAGCCAAGGTGAGTGTCCCTTCCTACTGATGTTGTAACTTGAAATTTTTGTGTATGCAGACTGGTGCTTTGAGGTGTCTGATGAATTTGTTCCTCATCATAGCATTTTTACAAGTGAAGTGTAAGATTGCACTTCTTTCTTAAGCTATATTGGCTACAGTTGCATTTGAGTCAAATGCATTTCTTTTTTTAAAGATTTATTTATTTATTTGAAAGGTAGAGTTACAGAGATGCAGAAGCAGCCAGGGAAAGAAGGAGAAAGAGAGAGAGGTCTTCCATCTGCTGGTTCACTCCCCAAATGGCCGCAATGGCTGGAGCTGGGCCAATCAGAAGCCAGGAGCCAGGAGCCAGGAGCTTCTTCCAGGTCTCCCTTGCTGGTGCAGAACTTGGACCATCTTTTGCTGCTTTCCCAAGCACATTAGCAGGGAGCTGGATTGGAACTCGAACCAGTGCCCACAGGGGATGCCGGCACTGTGGGTGGCAGCTTTACCCACTACGCCATGGCACCGGGGCCCCCTCAAAATGTGTTTTCAGCTAAGATGCAAAACGTGTATGCTTAGACTGAGACCTACAGTATTTGTTTAAGATTTATTTTATTTATTAGAAAGGCAGAGTTACAGAGAGGGAGACTGAAAGAGATCTTCTATCAGCTGGCTAACACCGCAAATGGCTGCAACGGTCAGGGCTGGGCCAGACTGAAGCCAGGAACTAGGAGCTTTATCCGGGTCTCCCGCATGGATGCTGGGACCTAAACACTTGGGCCATCCTCTGCTTTCCCGGGCCATTAGCAGAGAGCTGGATCAGAGTGGAGCAGCCGGGACTCGAACTGGCACCCTGCAGCTTAACCCATGAAGACACAACAGCGACCCCAGGTCACGGTCAGTTTCATGAGAACACAGAATACAGAGGAAAGAGCAGGAGAGCCGACACTGATGCTGGGGATTTGTCTTCTTGCCCACTAACTGGCCCTCGCAGTTCACATTTAAGTCTTTGTCAAATTATAAATTGCTGCAAGCCAGAGCTACTAATGAGCAGTAATTAAGGCTTCAAATACTAAAACCTTCAAATGACATGAATGAAATGTATTCAAATTGAGACAGGGATGAGTTTTGGATCCAAGGACAAGACCCAGACCTACTCATCTCCATTCAATTTTATTTGGTTTGTGTTAGCTACATTACACAGATAACATGGTTTGAGATCTCGATTCTCTGAGTTTCACATCATCTACAAATCTGATACACAGGAACTTCTGTATAGTTACCTAAATCACTCATTAAAATGTTAACCACGACCGTATCAGGATAAAAACCTCCAGACAGGGCTTTATTTAGCCTCCTTTGCAAGTGAGTACCTAGCTACATTCATAAACTTAATTGCTCCTGCTTCCAGCTTACATCCTTTCTTTTTTTCCAGAATAAATAGAAAGCAACTCAATTAATCTGGAAATGATGTAAAAAAACAAACAAAAAAAAATCCCCGTCAGTCAGCAGCAACTTGCTATCAGTGGACTCCTGTTGCCCCCTGCTGGCTAACTACTTCCTCCTCTGTATGGCTCCAGTCAAGATTACAAATCTGTACTTTGCAAATTCCACATCTGCCCCCTGTCCAAAAGTGAGGTGACTTCTGTCTAGTTCCAGTTATCTGACCTCGGAGTTCACTAACACGCCAAATGATGTATCTTCCAACATCCTCCGTTCTTGGAATGCCGTGCTCAAGCCTTGGAGCAGCCAAGTGATCTGCAGTCTTCGAGTCCTCTGGACGTTCCGTTTATTTCCCACTTCTCATGCAAAGGAACTGTTCAGTTATCAGAGAAGATAGGCAGACACGGGAATGTAGAGGCTCTGTTCTGCCTATGTCCCCCCAAACCTCACACCTCAGGCCCCAGGGAGCGGGCCTGGCCATTGTTTGCTTTTCTTTCCCACCTAGTGTAAATATTATTTCCACTGTCCTTACATTAGTTTGCAATTTTAATTTGATTTGTGGAGTGAGCGGTTCGGATCATGCTCCCCTCACTGTGCTTGTGAGCTTGCTCGTTTTTCCTTTCCTAAATCCTCCTCGTGTGCCTTTGGGGTACCCAAACTCATGAACAAAAGTCCTCCGCTCCATCCATCTCCTTGCCTACTTCGCGCCTCCCCTCTCGCCACACTTCCCCACCAACTGCTTCCTCCCTCCATTTCATGCGCTTTCTCTACGGATGATCACAATTGTGTAATACACAAGCAGGCACATGGTTTTGCTTAGTCTTTCACTTTTCCAAAGTTCAAAACAGAGGCCTGACTAAACTTACTTAGTTCTTACTTCTTAGATTTTGGTGATATTTCGAAACCCTAAAGATACGGCAGTATCTTTTTTTCATTTCCACAATGATGTCCCTGATATTCCAAGCTATGGCTCTTGGGATGACTTCTTCAAGCACTTCATGAAAGGACAAGGTATGGCTGTTGGTAATCAAATTCTTCTTACTTCAATGACCGCACGAATACAGAAATTCAAATGTATTTTAGGGTAGAGAAAGAAATAAGATTTAGGTAGATCCAGGAACCAAATAATTGCATTTAAATGAAGGTTTATAGCCCCACCTTGTAATATGTTTATAGCATATTAAACAACTAAAGAGCATTAATGTTTTTAAAAATAGGTTGGACGATTCATGTTGACGTGGCACTGTCCTAGTGGCAATCAAACAGGCATGGGACAAAGAGGCCTTCTCTAAAAAAACCACACAGAAATGCATTTGTATTAAATTCCCCTTAATTCACTGTTTAACACAATGATAAAAACCAAAAATGATCAAAACCAAATGGTGAAGTGGCAGCTACACCTAAGACATTTGTTTGGCACAGAGGCAGTAAGTTTTGTCACATCTTGTTGATGTGCCTTTGCTTACTGCTTTTTGCCATATACCTGCAAGGTAGGTACAGTCCCTCCAAGCGCCACCTTCAGGTTGGGAAGAAAAAAGGAAGAATCGCATCAGCTCAATGTTTCTTAGCACATGAAGCAGAAACCTTCCTCGTGTCTCATTGACGGGAACCATGTCGTGTGGCCAATCACAGCTTGAGGAGAGGCAGAAAAATGGGGACTTCTTTTCATGATTGGCTTAGACCCAAATAATCATGAAAGTAGGGGTGTATTAGACATTGAGTGGGCAACCTACAGCAATTGCCCCAACAAATCAAATACACCAAACTGTCTGGCTCCAAACCAGGGCATGATGATGCTGGCTAATACTGAGCGTTTCTATGAATTAGACACCGCTTTAAACATTTGACATCTGCTAACCCATTTAAGCATCACAACAACTCTATCTTATAGATGAGGAAACCAAGGTACAGAGAGGTTTAGGAAATTGCTGGAAGTCACACAGCAAGTAAACAGCACAGCTAAACAATGTCTAGATCTGTACTGTCCTTGTGTAGCCGGTGGCCATGTGTGGCAATTGAGCACTTAAAATGTGACCAGTATAATTGAGCTAACCATTTCATTTCACTTAATTTTAATTAAATTTAAACTATAAATAGATATTCAATTCAGTTATTAGAAAGCTTTTAAGTCAGGTTGTATTAATTTGGGTGTATGAATATAATTTTTCAAATGTAAGTTTTATAAAATCTATATATATAATGTATTTCTAATAAAAATTTAGCATCCAAATTGAAATTTTCTAATTTTCTCTGTGTATAAAATACCCACTGAGTCCTAAAGACTTAGAATGTAAATAATAATGTTTAAAGTTTCATTAATCATTTTTCATGTTGACCACTTGTCAGAATGATATTATTAAATGTATTGAATTAAATAAGGCATTAGAATTGACTTCACCTGTTTCTTTTTGGTTTTTTAAATTGCATATATGGTTTAGATTATGTTTCTGTCTAAATAATATCTTTCTCAGCATTTTATTCTTTCTGGCATTATCTCTGTCAGTTTCCATGTATCATTTATCATTCCTGAGTTATTTTACTCATTTAAATATTCATTAATGTCTTATGGTTTTATTAAATCAACTTTACAACTTGTTTAGTTTTATTCTAATTTATGGAAAATGTTCAAAAAGATAAGAAAATTGACAGATATTAGAAAATGGAAGTGATTTACGCCAGTCCTTTTGGACAGATATTTGTAATAAATCAATATAACTTTCTTTGTCTGAGCCTAAACACATATGGATAGTTTATATTTTACTGCATATACCAACAGCCTATCATTTTAATCTTCATTATTTAAGATTTCTTCAGAAGTTTTTTTTTTCCTGTGTTCTTAGTTTCTTGGGGAAGCTATTTTGATTTTGCAATTAATTGGAACAAACATCTTGATGATGCAAATATTAAATTCATATTATACGAAGACCTAAAAGAGGTAAGACTACGATTATTGATATTCTAGAGCAAGACTTATTATAAACTACAAGATAGATCGCTTACTTGCATTTATATGAACAAATATGGTATTTTTTTTAACAGAAGATCAGTTTAGTATACATTAAGTAAAGATTTCAACAGTTTGCACCCCCATAGAAACACAAAGTGAAATATACTGTTTGAGTACTCGTTATAGCATTAAATCTCAATGTACAGCACACTAAGGACAGAGATCCTACATGAGGAGTAAGTGCACAGTGACTCCTGTTGTTGACTTTACAAATTGACACTCCTGTTTATGGCATCAGTAATCTCCCTATGCTCCAGTCATGAGTTTCCAAGGCTATGGAAGCCCCTTGAATTCTCCGACTCTTATCTTGTTTAGACAAGGTCATAGTCAAAGTGGAGGTTCTCTCCTCCCTTCAGAGAAAGGTACCTCCTTCTTTGAAGACCTGTTCTTTCCACTGGGATCTCACTCACAGAGATCTTTCATTTGTTTTTTGTTTTTTTTTTTTTTTGCCAGAGTGTCTTGGCTTTCCATGCCTGAAATACTCTCATGGGCTTTTCAGCCAGATCCGAATGGCTTTAGGGCTGATTCTGAGGACAGAGTGCTGTTTAGGACATCTGCCATTCTATGAGTCTGCTGAGTATCTCGCTGCCCATGCTGGATCACTCTCCCCTTTATTTACTGAATTGCATATTTAAATGTTTGTTTGTTTGTTAGGCAGAGTTAGAAAGAGAGAGAGAGGTCTTCCATCCATTGGTTCACTCCCCAAGTGGCTGCAATGTCCAGAGCTGAGCCAGGTTAAAGCTAGGAGCTTCATCCAGGTCTCCTGCATGGGTGTCAGGGGCCCAAGCACTTGGACCATCTTTTGCTGCTTCTCCTAGGCCATTAGCAGGGAGCTGAATCAGCAGTGGAGCAGCCAGGACACAAACAGGCATCCATATGGGATATCAGCATCATAGGCAGCAGCTGTACCTGCTATGCCACAATGCCAGTTCCAACCTAATTGAGTTATTTATTTATTTAGAAAGGCAGAATTACAGAGAGGCAGATACGGGGTGGTGGGGGCAGTCTTCCATCTGCCAGTTCACTCTCCAAATGGCTGCAATGACTACCCGAATCCAGGAACCAGGAGAGTCTTCCAGGTCTCCTGGGTGGGTTCAGGGGCCCAAGCACTTGGGCCATCCTCCACTGCTTTCCCAGGTCATAGCAGAGAGCTAGATTGGAAGTGGAGCAGCCAGACTGGAACCAGCATCCATACAGGATGCCAGCACTGTAGGCAGCGGCTTCACCTGCTGTGCCATAGCACCTGGCCCCTTGATGAAGTTTTTTTTTTTTTTTTTTTTAAAGATTCACTTATTTATTTGAAAGGCAGAGTTACAAAGAGGCATAGGCGGGGGGGGGGGGGTGTCTTCCATCCACTGGTTCACCCCACCCCCCAAGTTGGCCACAATGGCCGGTGCTGTGCCAATCAAAAGCCAGGAGCTTCCTCCAGGTCTCCCACATAGGTGCAGGGACCCAAACACTTGAGCCATCTTCTGCTTTCCCAGGCTACAGCAGGGAGCTGGATTGGAAATGGAGTAGCTGGGACTTGAACTGGCACCCACATTGGATGCCAGCACTGCAGACCTGAGGTTTAACCTCAGTTAATTGAATTTTAACTCCAGACTCCAGTGACATTATGTGCAAGCACAATTTAATAACCCTGTCTGTCTCAGGGGAGGAGAATCATTTTTTTATGTCAAGGGCCGTTTGGATATTTACAACATCATTCTCAGAATTATCCACCTAAAAATTAGCCTCCTACAGAGTTACTGAATTGCTAGTCCCACCTGTAGTGGCTTTGGCAGAGCCAAACCAAATGATTTTGCAGGTCTCCTATGGCCCATGGGCTGGATGGTCCACATCCCTGTTATAGGATGCATTTGTCTAACATGAAAGAATGTTTTAATTTAGCTTTTTCTCCCTCTAGACTAGAATAATGTTTCCGAAATGTGTGCTCCTTAGAATGCCAGTGTCATCCCAGACATTTATAATTCTTGCCTGGGGTGGAGAGGAAGTTACTTATTCGAATAGATATAGAGGCTACTGCATTACATAGCCAGATCCTTTGGCATTCACATTGTACATTGGTATTAGAATCTGCAGCAAGAAACAAAACAAAACAAAAGAAACATCTTACTTTCATTTAAAGGATTCTAAGTTTATTTGATCTCAACCTTTCCCTCCCCCGCCATGTAACATCTATAAGCATCTTAGGGTATCCTAGTGTTTTATAGAATACAATTAAAGAAAGAAAAAAACTGCTCTAGAAGACATAAGAATCTCCATTGAAGAGGCACAGTGGTGGTTTGTGGGTGGTTGGGTAGTTAGACAAGGTAAATTTCAAGACTCCTTCAAGTTTCTATGACTGTAAGTCTAGGCTTTGTAGAATTTAAGCATTAGCTATAAATGGTATATAAAAAAAAGAGAATTAGAGGGGCCAGCATTGTGGCACAGTGGGTTAAGCAGCTGCTTATGACATTGGCATCCCATATTGGAGTGCCAGTTTAAGTCCTGGCTGCTCTACTTCCAATTCTGCTTCCTGTTAATGTGCCTGGGAAGAAAGTGAGTGGTGGCCCAAGTATGTAGGATACTGCTACCTGTGTGGGAGACCCAGATATAGCTCCTGGCTCCTGGCTATGTCCTGGCCCAGCCCCAGCCATTTTGGGAGTTGCCATAATTTGGGGAGTGAACCAACAGATGGAAGATCTCTCTCTCTCTCTCTCCCTTTCTCTATCATTTTGCCTTTGAAATAAATAAATAAGTCTTTTAAAAAGAGAGAGAATTAGAATGAACTCATACATTAATTTCTTTGGCCGGTCTAGGCTTTTTAATGCAATGAATGTCATCTGTGATAAAATTCTAACCTAACATATCATTTTTATATCATAAATACTTAGTATTATCTGAAAGCTCAGCAAGTGTCATAAGTTGAAACTACAAATTATAATCAATATAGGGTATCTTCAATAGAGATGACTTTAATATCTGTATAGGAGTATTAAAGTCAGTCTGCAAAGAGAAATAAGCAAAGGAACTAAGGAGTTAGGCTTAAATCCACTCGGGCTTAAGAGCCTCTTTGCTCTCTGCACTGCTCCCACAGAAAGAAGTCTATCCTTTAAAATTTGGAGGCTGGCATTGTGGCATAGCAGGTAGAGCCACTGCTTACAATGCCAGCATCCCATTTGGGCACCAGTTCATATGCTGACTGCTCTATTTCCAACCTAGCTCCTTGCTAATGGCTTGGAAAGGCAGCAAAAGATGGCCCAAGTACCTGGGCCATCCATGTGGGAGACCGGAAGAAGCTCCTGGCTTTGGCCTGGCCAGTCCTGACGTTTGCCACCATCTGGGGAGTAAACCAGAGATGGAAGATCCGTCTGTCTCTGTCTCTCCCTCTCTCTGAAATTCTGACTTTCAAACAAACAAATAAATGAATACAATTTTGTTTTCAGGGTGCAGGCATGTGGTGCAGTGGTTAGGATACTGCTCAGGATGCTAGTGTCACATACCAGAGTGCCTGGGATCAAGCCCTGGCTCCACTCCCCCAATTCCAGCTTCCTGCTTATCTGCACCTTTGGAAGCTGCAAGGTCATGGCTCAAGAGTCTGCCACCCATGTGGGTGACCTTGATTGAGTTCCCAGCTCCTGGCTTGGCCTGACCCAGCCCTAGCTGTTGTAGGCGTTGAGGACTGAACCTGTGGGTGAAAGATCTCTGTTTGTCTACCTCTCTGCCTTTCAAATACATTCAATAAGTAAATACATTTTTTTTAATAAAATAATTTTTTTTTCAGAATCTGGCCACTGGAATAAAACAAATTGCTGAGTTCTTAGGATTCTGTCTCACCGGGGAGCAGATTCAAGCAATCTCAGCTCAGAGCACCTTCCAAGCAATGCAAGCCAAGTCTCAGGAAACGCACGGTGCTGTTGGCCCCTTCCTGTTCCGCAAAGGTAAGTGTACGTGGCTTCTGGGGTTTTGTCTCAGGGGATAACTGATCACACAGCAGGCAATGCAGATGACTTTATTGTAAATAGAAAAGGTTTTCTTTCTCTCCTTCAAAAAGAAGTATGGACACAGGCAGTCCAGAGCTGTAACAGAGTTCCATAGGGTCTTTTAGAAGACTACATTCGAGCCGGCGCCGTGGCTCAATAGGCTAATCCTCCACCTTGCGGCGCCGGCACACCGGGTTCTAGTCCCGGTTGGGGTGCCGGATTCTGTCCCGGTTGCCCCTCTTCCAGGCCAGCTCTCTGCTATGGCCAGGGAGTGCAGTGGAGGATGGCCCAGGTGCTTGGGCCCTGCACCCCATGGGAGACCAGGACAAGCACCTGGCTCCTGGCTCCTGCCAGGATCAGCGCGGTGCGCCGGCTGCAGCGGCGGCCATTGGAGGGTGAACCAGCGGCAAAGGAAGACCTTTCTCTCTCTGTCTCTCTCTCTCACTGTCCACTCTGCCTGTCAAAAAAAAAAAAAAAAAAAAAAAAAAGACTACATTCTTTCTGTCTTTGTCTGCTTGTCTCCTTGTGAAAACAAGATAGCAGCTGGAGCTCAATCATTATGTTCAAATTCCAGGTGGGAAAAGGAAATGAGCAAAGAACAGAATTGTGTGTGTTAGCTGACTGAGCCTCCCCTCTTTTAATTGTTTAAAGATTTGTTCATTGATTTGAAATGCAGAGTTACAGTGAGAGAGGGAGAAATCTTCCCATTTGTTGGTTCAGTCACCAAATGGCAGCAACTTGAACCGGTGCCCAGGTGGGATGCTGGCTTGGTGAGCCGTGACTTAACCACAACTCTGGCCCTGAGCACCCCCCTCCCCCGCCCTTTAAAAATTTATTTATTTGTAAGGCAGAGTTACAGAGAGGCAGAGGCAAAGAGAGAGAGAGAGAGAGAGAGAGAGGTCTTCCATCTGCTGGTTCACTACCAAATGGCTGCAACAGCCAGCATTAGGCCTATCCAAAGCCAGGAGCCAGGAGCCAGAAGCTTCTTCAGGTCTCCCATGTGGGTGCAGGGATCCAAGGACCTGAGCCATCTTCTGCTGCTTTCCAAAGCCACAGCAGAGAGCTGGATCGGAAGTGGAACAGCTGGCTCTCAAACCAGCACCCATATGAGATGCCAGCACCGACCTGGTGCCCTTTAAAGTCCATTCCTGGAGAGCCAGCGCTGTGGCACAGCAGGTTAAAGCCTCAGCCTGCAGCACTGGCATCCCATATGGGCACTGGTTCGAATCCTGGCTGCTCCTCTTCTGATCCAGCTCCCTGCTATGGCGTGGGAAGGCAGTGGAAGATGGCTCAAGTCCTTGGGCTCCTACACCATGGGAGACCTGGAAGAGTTGAGACCTGGAAGAGTCTCCTGGCTCCTGGCTTCAGATCAGCTCAGCTGTGGCCATTGTGGTCAAATGGGGAATGAACCAGCGGAATGGAAGATCTCTCTCCCTGGATCTACCTCTCTCTGTAACTCTGTCAACAAATAAATAAAATAAATCTTTATAAAAAAAATTCCTGGAAGCCCCACTCAATAACTTCTGCATTGGCCACCTATCCCTCCAGCAGTAGCTGGGAAATATGATTCTTTTTAAAGCTGGGCACATAACTACCCAATTATAATCAGAAATTTGTTAATAAGGAAGAAGGAGAAAATGAATTATTGGAGAGGCAACTAGCTTTCTCTGACACAGATAATGTTACTAAATTTCATTAAATATGCTAAATTCTTATGGAAATTTATGATTATATAGGTTAGGGATTGACGTTTTTATTTTTAATTCCATATATAATGAAAATAATAACAAGATTTAGGAGGCAAGGCCTGGCATGTGGTATAGTGAGTTAAGCCATGGACTGCAGTGCCGGCATCCCATATGGGTACCAGTTTGTGTCTAAGCTACTCCACTTCTGATCCAGCTCCCTGCTAATGTGCCTGGGAAAGCAGCAGAGGATGGCCTAGGTGCTTGGACCCCTGCACCCACGTGGGAGACCTGAAAGAAGCTCCTGGCTTTGGATTGGCCTAGCTCCAGCCATTGCAGCCATTTGGGGAATGACCCAGTGGATGGAAGATCTCTCTCTGTCTCTCCATCTTTCTCTCTCTGTAACTTTGCCTTTCAAATAAATGAATCCTAAAAAAAAAATGAAAATTTAGGAGGCATTCATGTACTTGTACATGTAACAAGCAAGGGCAACAAGAGGTAATATTTATCAGGCATCATGTATTAAAAACTTAATAGGGTTTGCATTTTATAAAAAAAATTTTAAAGATTTATTTATTTATTTATTTGATGGGGGTTGGCGCTTGGCTCACGTGGTTGATCCTCTGCCTGCCTCTTTTTTTTTTTTTTTTTTTTTGACAGGCAGAGTGGACAGTGAGAGAGAGAGACAGAGAGAAAGGTCTTCCTTTTGCCCTTGGTTCACCCTCCAATGGCCACTGCGTCCGACGCGCTGATCCGAAGGCAGGATCAGGTGCTTATCCTGGTCTCCCATGGGGTGCAGAGCCCAAGCACTTGGGCCATCCTCCACTGCACTCCCAGGCCACAGCAGAGAGCTGGCCTGCAAGAGGGGCAACCGGGACAGAATCCGGCGCCCTAACCGGGACTAGAACCTGGGGTGCCTGCGCCGCTAGGCGGAGGATTAGCCTATTGAGCCGCGGGGCCAGCCGCCAGTTGCTCCTCTTCCAGTCCAGCTCTCTGCTGTGGCCTGGGAGAGCAGTAGAAGATGGCCCAAGTGCTTGGGCCCCTGCGCCTGTGTGGGAAACCAGGAGGAAACACCTGGCCCCTGGCTTCAGCTAGGTGCAGTGCTGGCCGTGGCAGCCATTTGGGGGAGTGAACCAACACAAGGAAGACCTTTCTCTCTCTCTCTCTCTGTAACTCTACCTGTGAAATAATATATATATATATTTGAAATATATATATTATTTGAAAGGCACAGTTAGAGAGAGAGAGAGAGATAACAGAAAGATCTCCCATTGTTGGTTCACTCTCCAAACGGCCACAATGGCCAGAGCTAGGCTGATCATTTCCAAAAGTTTCTTTCGGATCTCCCACATGGTACAAGGACCCACGCACTGGGTCATCCTCCCTGCTTTCCCAAGCACATTAGGAGGGTGTTGGATAGGAAATGGAGAAACCGGGACTCAAACTGGCACCCATATGGGATGCGGGAGCTGCAGACAGTGGCTTTTCCTGCTAAGCCACAGTGCCAACCCCAACAAAAAGTATATGAAATCCTTACTTTTATAAATGTAGGAGCCAAAGCTTGGAAATGTGACATTTCCATTGTCATCTAGCTGACAGACAATTGAGTCAGCATTTGAGCCTGGGTCTACTTGGGTCTACTGTACTGTTTCCAGTGAAGATCCATTTTGAAAATCCACTGTGAATGAAGCATCGATTCTAAGTCTGGCTGCGGTTTGATTCTTGAGTAGCTCTGATTTGTGTGCTTTGTGAAGGACGGGGAATAAAGAACCTGTCGTTAAAATTTAATCAAGTACTATTCAGAATAGAAAAAAATCTGTGGGAAAAAGTGGTAATTATTTAAAAAAATTTATAACATTCCTTATAGAAAATTCAGAAAGCACAGGAAAAATGTAGAAAAGCGTCACAACCATCTGGATTTCTCCAACCAGAGCAGGTTTAACAGGTGCATTTCTGTCCTGCGCTATTCTGTGGTGGTTTACATGGCTGATTACATTTGTGAACAGTTTTGTGTTTTGCTTTATTCCCTTTACACATAGTAAGCACTTGCTCACGTTGTTAAACCCTTATTAAAGTACCTTGCAATGGCTCTACAACATAGAGCTTAGGACTTCAACCCAAACCATGAAAAGATTTTTTAGAAAGAAATAACTCCTTTACTTTTAAGTCTAAGTAAGAAGTAAAGTATCCTAATCTTAGGCAAAATAATGTATGTTTTATAAATATTTATTTATTAGAAAGGCATAGTTACAGAGAAGCAGAGGCAGAGAGAGAGGTCGCTCATCTGCTTGATTCACTCCCCAGATGGCCGCAAAAAAACAAACAAACAAACAAAAAAAACGGCCGAGCTGCGCTGATCCGAAGCCAGGAGCCAGGAGCTTCTTCCAGGTCTCCCATGTGGGTGCAGGGACCCAAGGACCTGGACCATCTTCCACTGCTTCCTCAGGCCACAGCAGAGAGCTGGGTCAGAAGTGGAACAGCCCGGTCTCTAACCAGCACCGATAAGGGATGCAGGTACTACAGACAGCGGCTTTACCTGCTAGGCCACGGCGCCAGCCCCAAAATAATGTATTTTTAAAAAAATGTTCAATATCTTGGGGCCGGTGCTTTGCTGCAGCAGGTTAAAGCCCTGGCCTGAGGCGCCAACATCCCATATGGGCACCGGTTCTAGTCCTGGCTGCTCCTCTTCCGATCCAGCCCTCTGCTATGGCCTGGGAAAGCAGTAGTAGAAGATGGCCCAAGTCCTTGGGCCCCTGCACCCACGTGGGAGACCTGGAAGAAGCTCCTGGCTGCTGGCTTTGGAGCAGCACAGCTCTGGCCATTGCGGCCATCTGGGGAGTGAACGAGCGGATGGAAGACCTCTCTCTCTGTCTCCACCTCTCTCTGTAACTCTTTCAAATAAATAAAATAAATCTTAAAAAAAAGTTCAATATCTGAGGTTTTAACCCAAGCCTGCCATAAAATGTTAACTTTTCAAAGGGTGCTTAATGTATTATTTAAAAGACTTTAGAGAGAGGGAGTGGGACAGAATCAATCTCAAAAGTGGATGTTAAGTTCCAGATGTTGGGTAGGAGATCACTGAGACAGACAGATTGGCACTGCTGCAACACAGACAGGGAGACCCCATGGACACTGTTAATTTTATGAGAGAAATTACGTTGGTTTTTTAGACTAAATTATTATTCATTCATTTTCACATTACTCAGTGAAATATTACAGTCAAAAATGGTAAAATCATGGCGAAATATTTTAACAGCTAAATGGGTCTCACGTTCTTTGTTGTAGGTGAAGTTGGTGACTGGAAAAATTTGTTCCGTGAAACTCAGAGCCAGGAAATGGATGAAAAATTCAAAACCTGCTTGGCAGGCACTCCCCTGGGAACAAAGTTGAAGTATGAATTATATTGCCAAGTTTGATTCTGGTCCATTTAGCAGGAGTGGATATTTTCTTATCCTCAGTAAGAACTGAATTTAAATAAATTAATCTCAACAAATAATCAAATAATGATAAATAACAAATTTAATAATCATGAAGTTTTTAAGCATGAATCTAAGTGTTTTCACTTTTTAAAGAGAGGACTTTTAGCTGACTACAAGGGACACTACTGTGAATGTGCCGTCCTGAGTGGTAAGCTCTTCCATGCCGTAGGCTCACATTAGAGCATGAGCAGTTGCTGTCATAGATGAAGCAGACTCCAAATAATGGCCAGTTTCTTCTCTCCTCATAATAACTCCCTTCTCACCTCGGACCAAAGCACCTGTGGCTCTCTCAGACTTACTGTTGGGAGAAATTTAATTCCAACCTACCTATGCTAACAAAAGATTAATAAATTGTATTCTAATCTGATTCAAGAAAAATGCACTTTCTGTTCTGTGTATGACATTGTAGTATGTCATGGGAGGCTCCAGTCTCAGGGGACTTTATGTTTCTATTTAATACAATCTTGAATTCAAACCTAAAGGTAAGGGATTGTGTTATTCTACTTAAAGGTTTTTCTACCACAGAGCCCAAAGTAGTTTTGTGAAACTAGCAAGAGAAGGTTGAGAATGTTATAGAAAGAATCTCTTTCTGTCTGGCACCTCTCAAACTCTTAATGACCCTTACTATTTACATTGTAGCTAATTCTAGTCTCTAAGATTAAGTTATGTGCTGCTAAGGTAGAGTGAATAATGGAAATGTTAAATAAAATTGATTTGAGAAAAAATTTTAGGACTGCTGTAAATGGGAATATGGTGAATTAGATCAACTAAAAATCTTCCCCTTGAATCACCAAGAAGTGCTGGATAAAAATTCTTTTAGAAACATAGCTCAGCTCCCGGTAAAATAAACAAATTCATCAGTGACCAACAACAAAGAAGAAACAGACGGCAAGAGAAAGTGAGCAGCAGAGACACCATTGAGCTGCTCCTCAGGACTTGTCAGTAATAAAGAACCTTGCCTTTTAATACCCAAGCCTGCATGCTTGGTGCAAGAGTCAACAAAACAACCAGTGGAATAAAATAAAGCCACCAAGCCAACTCATGCCTCTAGGGGGACTTCATATATGACAGAGGAAGCACTGTATATCACAGGACAAAATTAAACTCTTCAGCATTAGATGCTAAGACATTTGGTTGTGATATAGAGGAAACCAAATTAGATCCTGGGTACATCACTCACATAAATAAGCTCCTTCCAAATGAAATATCTGAATGTTTCAAAAGATTTTATTTATTTATTTATTGTAAAGATTATTTATTTATTTGAAAGAGTGACACAGAGAGAGAAGAGGCGGAGAGAGAGAGAGTCTTCCATCTGCTGGTTCACTCCTTAATTGGCTGCAACGGCTAGGAGCCAGGAGCTTTTTCAGGTCTCCCATGTGGGTGCAGGGGCTCGAGGACTTAGACCACTTTCTACTGCTTTCCCAGGCCATAGCAGAGAGCTGGATTGGAAGAGGAGCAGCTGGAATTCTAACCGGTGCCCTTATGGGTTGCCGGCACTTCAGGCAGTGGCCCTACCCGTTATACCACAGTGTCGACCTTGAATGATTTTAAATCCTTAAGTATTTATTTATAATCAAATATGAAATAATAGTTTTATGACCACAGGGTAGAATTGCTTAAACAAGAAACAATAAGCATAATCAAAAAGGAAACAATTTATGTTTTGGCTGAAATTTAAAACCTTTGTAAAACAGGCATATTTAAGAAAATGAATCCCTCCAAAAACTAAAGAGGCACAACAAATTAGGAGACAATATTTGTTAAATAAAAGGCTAATACCTGGAGTATATAAAGAAGAATTAAAATCAGCAAGTGGCACTGTGGTATAGTAAGCTCAGACTCAGCCTGTGGTGCCAGCATCCCAAATGGGTGCCTGTTCATGTCCCAGATGTTCCTCTTCCAATCCAGTTCTCTGTTAATGCACCTAGGAAAGTAATAGAAGATGGCCCAGTGCTTGGGCCCCTGCACCCATGTGGGAAACCCAGAGGAAGCTTCTGTCTCCTGGCTTTGGGTTGGCCCAGCTCGGGCCATTACAGCCATTTGGGGAGTGAACCAGTGAATGGAAGATCTCTTTCTCTCCCTCTCTCTGTTTGTAACTCTGCCTCTCAAATAAATAAATAAATCTTTTTTTTTTAAAAAATCAGTAGATGTAGGGCTGGCACTCTAGCATAGTGGATTAAGCTACCACCTGCAGCACTGGCATCTCATATGGGCACCGTTTCAAGACCCAGCTGCTCCACTTCCAATCCAGCTCCCTACTAATGCACTTGAGAAAACAATAGAAGATGGCCCAAGTGTTTGGGTCCCTGCATCTGTGTGAGAGATGGGAAGAAGCTCCGGGTTCCTGGCTTTGGATCACCCCAGCTCCAGCCATTGCAGCCATCTGGGGGGTGAACCAGTGAATGGAACACATCTCTCTCTCTCTCTTTCTCTCTCTCTCTCCTTCTCTCTTTCTGTAACTCAGCCTCTTAAGTAAATAAGTAAATTTTTTTAAGTCACACTGAATGCTAGGATTTTGGGAGCAGGGCGGGGTCATGCAGAAAGAGGAGCTGCACAGAGACAGCCTCAGGGGTCTGCGGAAGGGATCCTGTCAGTCTAACTGAGCACACAGACGTGCAAACATGGAATAAAACTCCACAAGGACAGTGTAAATCTCTATGAAGGCCAAAAAAGGACCACTGGGACGCAGAAAACCAACACGTTCTCCTAGATCTCATTCAGATGTGGGCCTAGAGTGTGTTCCACCAGCCGGCCTGGAGAGACCTTAACACCCACTGCACTGGATAGATTCCTCGGAAGTGTCAGATCTTAGTAGTGGAGCTAAGGTGGCACTCGTGTAAGTTAGCCCTGGACTTGTCACAACCAAGACAAAAGCTAAGCCTTGAAAGGATTGAAGTAATAAAGTAACTTCACTGTTTGTCCCCTTAAGGCAGAAATGTGGTGTAGCGGGTTCAGCTGCCCTTTGGGTTGCCTCCATCACATTGCTATCAGAGTGTCTGTCTACCCCATACTTCTGATCCAGCTTGTGGCTACTGTGCCTGGAAGGCAGCAGGAGATGGCCCACGTACCTGGGTTCCTGTCTCCCATGTGGGAGAACAGGACAGAGCTCCTGGCTTCAGCATAGCCTAACTCTAGCTGTTGTGGGCATTTGGGGAGTGAATCATCAGGTAGAAAATGTATGTGTGTGTGTATGCATGTGTATCACTCTGCCCTTCAAATAAATAATCTTTAGAAAAAGGAGGGAAAAAGAAAAATACCAGGAAAAACTCAACACTTAAAAATGCAATTGAAGGCCGGCGCTGCGCCTCAATGGGCTAATGCTCCGCCTGCGGCACCGGCACCCTGGGTTCTATTCCCTGTTGGGGCGCCAGATTCTGTCCTGGTTGCTCCTCTTCCAGGCCAGCTCTCTGCTGTGGCCTGGGAGTGCAGTGGAGGATGGCCTAGGTCCTTGGGCCCTGCACCCCATGGGAGACCAGGAGAAGCACCTGGCTCCTGCCTTCAGATCAGTGCGGTGCGCCGGCCGCAGTGCTCCGGCCGCAGTGGCCACTGAAGGGTGAACCAACGGCAAAGGAAGACCTTTCTCTCTGTCTCTCTCTCACTGTCCACTCTGCCTGTCAAAAATAAATAAATAAATTTTTAAAAAAATGCAATTGAACAAAATGAAGCCCTCAGAATTATGTCTACAAACCAATAAAGATTTTTCAGGAAAAAAATATGACTTATATCCAGCAGTAAAGTGATGAATACAAGCAGATATATGAATTGATGGAATCATGAGAAAAGAAATGGAGACTTTAAAGTTGAAAAGCACAATATGTGAAATGAAATATACACTGGATAAATGAGCAATAGACTAGATAGTGAAGAAGAAAAGAACGGGGAACTTGAAGACATCTATAGAAAACATCCTAAATGAATACAAAGAAAAAAAAATGACTACAAAAAATACAGAGCTTCAGTTGCTTTTGAGACAATATCAAGCAAATGCACATGTAATTGTAGTCTCAGAAAAAGGAAAGGAGTAAAATTTTAAAAAAGACATAATAACTGAAAAGTTTCTTTTTTTAAAAAAAAAGATTTATTTATTTTATTTGAAAATCAGAATTACACAGAGAGAAGGAGAGATAGAGAGAGGTCTTCCATCCACTGGTTCACTCTCCAATTCGTTGCAACAGTGCAGACCCGGAGCCAGGAGCTTCTTCCAGGTCTCCCACGTAGGTGCAGGGGCTCAAGAACTTGGGCCATCTTCCACTGCTCTCCATCTCTCAATCTTTTTTTAAAGATTTATTTTATTTGAAAGACAGAGTTACACAGAGAGGAGAGGCAGAGAGAGAGAGGTCTTCCATCCACTGGTTCACTCCCCAGATGGCTGCAATGGCCAGAGCTGTGCCGATCCAAAGCCAGGAGCCAGGAGCTTCTTCTGGGTCTCCCACATGGATGCAGGGGCCCAAGGACTTGGGCCATCTTCTACTGCTTTCCCAGGCCACAGCAGAGAGCTGGATCAGAAGTAGAGCAACCAGGTCTTGAACCGGTGCTCATATGGGATGCAGGCACTGAAGATGGTGGCGCCCTACTGTGCTTTCAATCCAGCTCCCTGCTACTGTGCCTGGGAAGCAGCAGAAGATGGCTCAAGTACTCACATGGGAGACCCAGATGGAAATCCTGGCTCCTGGCTTTGGACTGGCTGAGCCCTAGCTGTTGTAGCCATTTGAAGAATAAACCACCAAATGGAAAATCTTTCTCTATGTCTCTCACTGTCACTCTTTCAAATAAATGAGTAAATCTTTTTTTAAAGATGCATTTATTTACTTGAGAGGCAGAGTGATAGACAGAAAGAGAGGTCTTCCATCCACTGTTTCACTCCCCAGACAGCCACAACTGCTGGAGCTGAGCCAATCCAGAGCCAGGAGCCAGGGGCTTCCTCTGGGTCTCCCACATTGGCGCAGGGGCCCAAGGACTTGGGTCATTTTCCACTGCTTTCGCAGGCCCTAGCAGAGAGCTGGATTGGAAGCAGAGCAGCCAGGACATGAACCAGTGCTCACAGAGGATGGGAGCATGGCAGGCAGAGGCTTAGACTACTATGCCACAGCGCTGACCCCCACCCTTCCACTCTGCCCATTCAAGTGGCCCACCCACATCACTTCCTCTGGACCTCCTGATCACCAATCCTCTAATCTCATGCTTTTGCAATCTGGAAACATCCAGCAAAATTGTTAGCCCCTGGCTCTGTACAGGCCAATGAAGCAGGGGCATCTGGCTCTTTGTGGGAGCCACGGTTGGGGGAGTAAATAGTTTGCACACTGTAAATCTACTCCAGTATCTCAGCTTTCCTAAGTATTTTTGATTCCTTCAGCTGCACTACTTGACATTCCAACTCCATTTAAATGGGGGCCACCGTTACCCCAGATCGTGGGAAAGCAACTGAGCAGACGGGGAGAGCCACTGGTAGCTGCTGGAGCTAGCACAAGTCTCTCTTCATGTCCTCTTTAGAATCACGTCCATGCACACTTCCTGGGTTTTTCGTGATGCAAAGTAGTGAAGTCTTGCAAGCCTATGGTTGTGTGAATGAGCTCCCTTTGAGCAGATCTTGTCCCTGTCCCCTTGGGGCAGGTGGCATCTGATTCCAATTATAGGTGTGAAGGCATGAGGTAGGAATGGACTTTTAGCCAATCAGTACCTCCTTGCTAGGTGACTGCTCAGGTTCTTCAAGCTAATCCGACAATCAGACGATGGTGGGAAGTGTGTGGAAATTCAGCAGAATTTGGGAGGGCAGTGGTACTCGCACTCATTCGAATCTACCCCAAATCCCAGACTTTGGTTGTTTTTTTTTTTTTTTTTTTAATTATTTATTTGAGAGGTAGAGTTACAGACAGTGAGAGGGAGAGACAGAGAGAGAGGTCTTCCTTCCATTGGTTCACTCCCCAGATGGCCACAATGGCTGGATCTGCGCCGATCCGAAGCCAGGAGCCAGGTGCTTCCTCCTGGTCTCCCATGCGGGTGCAGGGCCCAAGCACTTGGGCCATCCTCCACTGCACTCCCGGGCCACAGCAGAGAGCTGGACTGGAAGGGGAGCAACAAGGACTGGAACCGGTGCCCATATGGGATGCTGGTGCCGCAGGTGGAGGATTAACCTACAGCGCCACAGTGCCGGCCCCAGCTTTGGTTCTTCACCAGTCCATGCCCTTCCTGTTCACAGAGGGGACATAGGGACACTGCAAATGAATTGCATATTGTAATTCTGCTTTCTGCAGCATCAGACCCTGCTCCTGCTTTTTGCAACCTGAGCCCTGAGGCCACATGAAGCAAGAGGTCCTGTGACCGTGCTTTAGTTGGTCACTTTTCTCAAATTGGCTTGGGCAGTTCAGGGACAAGTCAAAAAGCTTGTTCCTGTTACTGCCACTGTTGCTGCCACAGCCACTCCACACCCACGGAGCTGAAAAGTGGCCTCCTGGAAACATCTACCACTGACAGTCTTTTTGCATCCGGAAATGCCAGAGAAGATGGCTCTGTCTCCCATCCACCATCTAACCCTCCCACCAGTGTGTCATGTTCGGGGAACTTAAACCACGCCAAAGAAAAGTGTAGATGTTAGTTGTTGATACGCTGCAACACAGGGGGAATGCAGAAGTGGGGGGAGGGGCGGCCGCTTAGGGTACAGTATTTAATGTATATTTGAAGTCTACCTTAGCACCACCTTCCTCCCTCCCCCTTGGTGAGATGCTGAGATTCTTGAATCCTGGTTCTAAATTTGCTTCCCCACTCTGCTAACTTCCTCAGTTTTCTCATCTGTTGAATGGGGATAGTGATGGCAACTACATCGCGGTAGCGTGAAGACTGTGCATTGAACGGTGTACAACACAAGCTAAGTGCCCAACACTCTTCAGTCGAGTGCCCCTTAGCCAGTGTGACCCTCGGAGAGTGTCACAGGCGAGTGGCAGGTTGTTTTTTTTTTTTTTTTTTAAGATTTTATTTATTTATTTGAGAGGCAAAGCTAGAGAGAGAGTGAGAGACAGAAAGAAAAGTCCTCCATCCACTGGTTCACTCCCCAAATGGCTGCAATGGCTGGAGCTGGGCCATAGGAAGATAGGAGCCAGGAACTTCCTCCAGGTCTCCCAAAGCACCTGGGTCATCTTCTGCTTTTCCTGGCCACAGTAGAGAACTGGATGGAAGAGCAGCAACTGGGACACAAACCCTTGTCCCCATGGGATGCGGTTCTTGGAGGCCAAGACTCAGCCTACTAGCCACAGCGCCAGCCAGCTGTTCTTAGACACGGTGGACTACTGGGACCGGCTTTTGATAGCACACTTCATGAGGCCTTTGAGGGAGCACGCCCTAACCCCCAGACCTGCTGGGCTGGGCGGTGCTGGCAAGTGTCCATCAATGAATGGATGGGGAAGCACGGATCGAAGGGCCACAAGGACCCCAGCCCCAGCCAGGCCCAGCTTTGACAGGGCCGGGGGCCTGAGTAGTTAGTTTATAAGCCTTGGTTTGGATTGAATCTGCTTCTGCCTCCTGCGGGTGGCAGGACCCTAGGCAAGTTAGTTTACTCGGTTTCAACCCCACAGTGCAAATCTGCTTTGAATAAGAAATGAAATCTTTGGTCCCGCCCCCTTGCTAAGTCCAGCGAGCGCTCGGCAAGTGCGGGAGACCTCTTCCTCCCTTCCCGAGGACTCTTCCCCGCAGCGGGTCAGGGGCCGCCCCAAAGAGCCCGGCAGTGGCTGGGGAGTGCGGGGTCGGCCGCCTGGGTCCTCAGCGCCCAGGCGGTGGGAGGTGCCAATTTTCCGGGATCCTGGAGCGGGAGTGGGCTTGGGCGAAAGGGGCTGGCGGTGATAGGAAGAGGCGGAGTTCGTGGAGAAAACGAAACCAAGGGTGAACTGCAGAGACTGGGCCGGACTACGGCCGACTGCGGCGGCGCGGGGCGTACCGGCTGCACGGCGGGCTCCCTGCTCCGGGCTCCGGGCTCCGGGCTCCAGGCAGGCTCCTGGGAGCTGCAGGTGCAGCGCTAGGGGGGCAATCGCCAGCGTTCGGGGGAGAGCCCAGCCCGCGCCTCCGACCTCGGACTTGGGCGCGGTCCAGAAGCCCCAGGCGGCCTGTCAGGTTCAGCAGCCCACCTGAAGGGGAAAGGCTCGCGGGGCGCTGTCTGAGCTGAGAACCATTTCCGGCGAAGAGTATTGAATCCAGGCAAGTAACAAGTACCTGACAGGCAGTGACTTGGGGGGCGAGGGTCTCAGTGGACTACGGACAGGCCCCATGACTTGACTGGCGGGTGGGAAACAGGGAGGCCTGAATTTATCTCCAGATAGGCGAGATGATCCCTGGCTAGCAATGTCCTACCTGAAGAGTTAGAGCCTTCTAGGCGCGGCCTCGGTCCCCGCACCATCCAGTCCACCTCTTCACACCACCGCAGCCAGCGGTGTCCCTCTAAGTCAGCACCGCCCTCCCAGCTTCCCAGGCCCGCCACCGGCCAGGCCCCTAGCGCCCTCTCCTCGGGCCGCACTGGCCTCCCAACCTCCAGCCTCTGGGCCTTTGCACGGCGCCTTTGCCCTTCCTGGAAAGCTGTTCCGCTACACTTGCGCGGGCGATTCGCTGATTTATCTTACACTTCTTCCAATGCCAGCTTCTTGGAGCAGCCTTCTCTGGACGCGGTGCCTAGAAAAGGAATCCCACTCTGCCCTGCTGTCCCCCTTACTTTGGGACTCTGTGAGTGGGTTTGTCCGTGTTCCTCCGCTTCTGAGTTCACAAGAGCAGGCTTTTGTTCACTGGTAGAACCCCAGCACCCAGAACTTAAGTGCTTACTGAATATTTGTTAAATACATGATAATTCATAAATTCTCTTATTTGAACCTGAAGATCCCAAACACTAAACTAGTAGTTTAAACTACTGAACAAGTATGGGGGAGGGGAGGTTGGCCTGAAGTCACAGCTGAAGTCACTTCTACTCTGGGAGAAGATGGACAGAAAACATTTGGGTGTGATTGTGGTGGAGATTTATTTTAGGTGAATGAGTAAGGTATAGAACCTGTTGCCCACAGAGCTTATTGATGAGTTTAAAAAGGGGTGCGGTGAGAGGCTGGTGCTGTGGCTTAGTGGGTAAAGCCGCCGCCTGCCATGCCACATCCCATATGAGCATTGGTTTGAATCCCAACTGCTCCTCTTCCAATCCAGCTCCCTGCTAGTGCGCCTGGGAAAGCAGCATGTACCCTCATGGGAGACCCAGAAGTAGCTCCTTGGCTTCAGCCTGGCCCAGCCCTGGCTGTTGCATTCATATGGGGAGTGAACCAGCAGATGGAAGATCTCTCTCTTTCTGTAACGCTTTCAAATAAATAAATAAATAAAGTCTTAAAACAAACAAACAAGCAGCCAGGGCTGTGATGAGGTTTGGGCGAGGTGGATTGGCAGGCCCGTGGAGAGGTCCTGCTGCCCCTCCGGCTTCAAGACCGGGAATCCTGATCGGTGTAGGGACTTCCTAGTACATGGAGGATACAGAGGCTGTATTCCTGGTGTAGAAAAAGCCGTGGGTTTGGGGACCTGGAGATGCTCTAGTTACCCATTCACTCAGATTTGGCCTCTTCTTTCTTGTGGTTCTTGTGGTTCATGGTCTTGTGGTTTTACAGTTGTAACAAAGGGAACCGGGGCTGTGAAAGAGTGTGAAAAGGGGTCTCAGATTTTGAGCTAAGATCTGTAAGAAGTAGGAGTTAAGCAGGCAAAGGCACGGAGCCTGGCAGGAGGAAGAGGGTTAGATGGAGGCAGCTGGGAGTTCAGGAAAGAGGTGATGGAGACATACCTGGAGGTGATGTTCAGGGAAGTGAGAGGAGAGGAGAGGAGGTCTGAGGGCTGGGTCATTTACATGACAGGAGGACATTTACAAGAAAGGAAGGTGATGAGGAGACAGAGAAGGAAGGTGGGTGTCCAAGAAGTCCAGGCTAAGAAAGGCAGCAGGAGCCAAAGGCAGAGGAGTAACGGTGTGAAATGCCAGGGAAAGGCCGAGTGGGCCACGTCTGAACACTCACGGCTGGATTTCTCAACTGGGAAGCTGTTGGTAACCGTGACAAGGATAGCTGTGGTGGCTGCGTGATTGGACTGATGCTTGAAAAATACAATGTGGCTACTATTTTTTTTTAAAGGAGGGGATAACAAATGTTGGTGAGGATGTGGAGAAATTGGAACCCTTGTACTTTGTTGGAAAGAATGTAAAATGGTGTGGCACTGTGGAAAACAAGTCGGTGGTTCCTCAGAAAGTTACACAGAAATACCACGATTCATCCTCTTCTAGATATTTACCCAAAAGATTTGCAAGTAGGGACTCAAGTAGATGTTTATTCACCGGTGTTGATAGCACCATTAGACACGTGCACATTTGTCAAAGGGTTAGAATAACCTGTGTCCATCAGCAGATGAATGGATAAATAAAATGTGGTATACACATACAATGGGGTATTATTCAGCCTTATAAAGGGAGGAAATTCTGACCCGTTACTACATAGATGAACTTTGAAGACACTACGCTAGGAGAACTAGCTAAATATAAAAGGACAAATACTGACTGCTTCCAGTTATATAAGGTGCCTAGAATAGGCATAAAGACAGGCGGTAGACTAGAAGTTAGCAGGGGCTGAGGTGGGGTGGAGGGAGGAAGGGGAATTATTGTTTGATGGGTACAGACTTTCTGTTTGGGATGATGGAAGTGATCAGGAAGTGGAAGCTGGTAATCACTTCAAAACACTATGGTTGTACATAATGTCAGTGAATTGGACACTGAAAATCATTCAAGGAGGATAAATTTCATGTATATTTATGTAAATAAAACCATAGTGAAAAAACAAAGCTTATGATGGCTGCAAGGTAGAGAAGGAATGGAGGTGGCTGTCGGAACTGGTTGTGAGGTTCATGCGGTGATAGCCCAGGAGGGAGATGGTGATGGCTGGACATCTGGAGAAGTAGGCTTTTGTAGACAGAATGGAGTTAGGGACTAGAAGAAGGTAGGAAGAAGAAACCTGTTTCCCAGATTCAGACTTGCATGGATGGTGGAGCCATTTTCTGAGGAAAGAGACTTCAGACCAGCTTGGGGCAACATCATAAAGGCAGTTTGGGGATATCTTGAGTTTAAAATTCATTCAAAATGCTCAAGTGGAGATGTTGGATAGAGAGATCAGAAGTTCCCAGACAGGTTCCTAGAGGATATGTACATTTTAGAGTTAATGGCAAATAGATGATCATTGATGCCATGAACATGAAAGAAATTACCTCAATGAGAATGTCTAGAATGAAGAGAATAGGGTCTTTGGACTATGCTGGTATTTTTTTTTTTTAAGATTTGTTTATTTATTTGAAAGGCAGAGTTACAGAGAGGCAGAGCAGAAAGAGAGAAGTCTTCCATCCACTGGTTCATTCCCCCAGTGGCCGCAATGGCTGGAGCTGAGCTGATACAAAGCCAGGAGCCTGGAGCTTCTTCTGGGTCTCCCACATGGGTGCAGGGGCAGCTACTGCTTTCCCAGGTACATTAGCAGGGAGCTGGATTGGAAGTGGAGCAGCCGGGACTTGAAACACTGCCCATATGGGATGCCAGCACTGCAGGTGGCGGCTTTACCTGCTAAGACACAGCACCAGTCCCCATGACAGTATTTAGAGCCTGCAAGGATTAAGGTGTGTTAGAAAGAATGACCATGGAAGAAGGAACATCAAAAGAGCTTTGCAACAAAAAATAAGAAGTTCACTGGATCTGTTTTCTGTTTCTATGGATTTAATTGTTCTGAATGTTTTCATATAAATGGAATCAAACAATATACCTTTGGTATCTTTTTATTTTCACTTAGCATGTTTTTGAAGTCCATCCCACATTTTTTTTTCCACTTTTCTTTTTTTAAAGAACATTCTTCTTTCTTTCTTTTCTTTTTGTAAAACATTCTCTTATTTATTTGAAAGAGTTACAGAGGGAGTGGGGAGACTAGGAGAGATCTTCCATATGCTGATTCACTCCCCAGATGGCTGCAACAGCCAGGGCTGGGCCAGGCTGAAGCCAGAAACCAGGATCCAGGAGCTTGTTTGTCTCCCACAGGGGTACAGGAGCCCGAGCACTTGGGCCATCTTCTGCTTCTTTTCCCAGGCCATTAGCAGGGAACTGGATCAGAAGTGGAGCAGCAGGACTTGAACTGGCGCCCATATGGGATGCTGGCACTGCAGGCAGCAACTTGACCTTCTACAACACAATGCCAGCCCCCTTTCTTCACTTTTCTTCAGCTGATGGACACTTGGCTTATTTCCATTTTTGGCTCTTGTGAACAGTGCTGCCACAAACATTTCTATATAAGCATTTTCATGAAAACCTGTTTTTCAATTCTTTGAAATTCCTAGAAGTAGAATTGTTGGGTGATTGGGTGGTTCTAAGTTTCATTGTTGAGGACCTCCCTCAAGCTGTTTTCCATCTCAGCTGTACCACTCTACATTTCCATTAGCAATGTCTCCAGGCTCCACATCTTCACCAACACTTTCATTGTCTCCTTCTCCTCTTCCTCCTCTTCCTCTTCCACCTCCTCCTCTTCCTTCTTCATCCTACTAGGTGTGAAGTAGTAGCTAGGTGCATTTCTTAAAGATTATTTATTTATTTGAAAAGCAGCGTAGCAGAGAGTGAGAGGGAGAGACACAGAAAGAGCAATCTTCCATCTGCTGGTTCACTTTCCAAATGGCCACAACAGCCAGGACTGGGCCACGCTGAAGCCAGGAGCCAGGAACTCCTTTCAGGTGTTCCAAGTGGGTATCAGAGACTCAAGTACTAGGGTCATCTTCCATTGCCTTCCCAGGTGCATTAGCAGGGAGCTGGAGCAGAAGCAGAGCAAATGGGACTCAGTCACTCAGTCACTCAGATATGGGATGTTGACATAGGCTTAACCCATTGTGCCACAACATGGGCCCCTAATTGTAGTGTTGATGAATGATGCCGAGTATCTTTACATGTACTTATTGGTCGTTGTGTCTTCTTTGAAGAAGTGTCTGTTCATGTCCTTTGCCTGTTTTTTTTTAATTGGGCAGTTTGACTTCTGTTGTTGTGTTATAAGAGTTTTTATTTTTTTAAGATTTATTTTATTTATTTGAAAGAGCTAAACAGAGAGAAAAAGAGAGGCAGAGGGGGGGGGGGTATTCCATTTGCTGGTTCACTCCCCAGTTCTCAATTGACTGCAATGGCTGGAGCTGCACTGATCCGAGCCAGGAACCAGGAGCTTTCTCTGGGTCTTCTCATGTGGATGCAGGGGCCCAAGGACTCGAGCCATTCTCTACGACTTTCCCAGGCCATAGCAGAGAGCTGTATCAGAAATGGAGCAGCTGGGACTTGAACCAGCACCCATATGGGATACTGGCACTGCAGGCAGTGGCTTTACCCACTATGCCACAGCACTGGCCTCAAGAGCTTTTAGAATGTATTCTATATACCAAACCTTTATCATATGTATGATTTACATATATTCTGCCCTATAAATTGTCTTTTCATTTTCTTCATATTGTATTTTCATATACACAAAAGTTTGGGATTCTGATGAAGCCATTTTTTTCTGTTTTCTTTGTTGTTTTTGATTTTGCTGTTATAGCTAAGATTCTACTAACAAATCTAATGGCATGAAGATTCATCCTTATGTTTCCTTATAAGTATTTTATAGTTTTGACTCTTTACATATAGATCCTATTTCTTTTAAATTTTGTTTTTCACTGTTATCATCTTGATCCATTGAGAACTGTAAACTAAGATCTTCCTTCACCCACAGTTAAATTATCCTAAAATTGATTTTGGCACATTTCAAAGGGACAATTTTTTTTTTTTTTTTTTTGACAGGCAGAGTGGACACAGAGAGAGAGAGACAGAGAGAAAGGTCTTCCTTTTGCCGTTGATTCACCCTCCAATGGCCGCCGCGGCTGGCGCGCTGCGGCCGGCGCACCGCACTGATCCGATGGCAGGAGCCAGGAGCCAGGTGCTTTTCCTGGTCTCCCATGGGGTGCAGGGCCCAAACACCTGGGCCATCCTCCACTGCACTCCCTGGCCACAGCAGAGGGCTGGCCTGGAAGAGGGGCAACCGGGACAGAATCCGGTGCCCCAACCGGGACTAGAACCCGGTGTGCCGGCGCCGCTAGGCGGAGGATTAGCCTAGTGAGCCGCGGCGCCGGCCTCAAAGGGACAATTTTCTAAATTTTATTTATTTATTTATTTCCATATAGCAAAGTCTTCCATTATTTCATAAACTTCACTTATTATACCTGTGCTTAATCTTATTCTTCTCAACCTAACAAAGTCTAATTCTACTCCTCACAGCCTTTTTAACTTTTCAAGCAGATGGACAAATTTGCACTCCACACTCAGTGGAGTTGAAGAGCAGAGTTACAGAGGACTCCCATCTTTTTCTGGTTAGTTGGGTTTTTAAAAAGCTCTGGGAAAATTCACTTGGTTGTGCAGCCCACAGGAGAAAAAGATAGAGTTTTTGTTGTTGTTTTGTTTTGTTTTTCTTTTTTTCACTTGAGAGGTAGAGTTACAGAGAGAGGGAGAAATCTTCCATACACTGGTTCACTCTCCAAATGCCCACAACAGCCAGACCTGGGCTGATCCTGAGCCAGGAGCTTCTTCTGGGTCTCCCACACAGGTGCAGGGGCCCAAGCACTTGGGCCATCCTCTGCTGCTTTCCCAGGCCATAGCAGAGCTGGATTGGAAACGGAGCAGCTGGGATAAAAACAGGCGCCCATGTGTGGTGCCGGCCCCACAGGTGGAGATTTCGCACACTACACCACAGTGCAAGCTCCAAAGAAAGGTTTTGAAAGAAGGTTTTCCCTGAATTTGTATGGGGCTAAGATGAGTTTTATCAAAGAGAGTCTTCCTACCCCTGTTTGTGTCATAAGCTTTATTGGAAGATCAGATTAAATATGTTCTGTGAATGTCACTCATTTGAACATGTCTTTTGTAGTAGGTCACTGGAGGAAGAAATGGCCAATGATCTTTCACCAGGTTTCTTCATAGAAGAACTTAACAAATACCGTCAGAAACACAACATACTACTTAAGTATCATGAACTGCCCCAGTCGGGGCCCCCGCATGATGTGACGTAAGTTGCTGTAAAAATGGGTGTGTCCCTATAAATGTCCACTTGGGGAATGGCAGCTCTGGCATAACTTTGAGGTCAATGCTTTAGCTCTAGAGCAAACTTTCCAGAGAGTTCCATAAGAGTCCCCATGGCATAAAGTGGAAACCTCAGATGACTCCAGAGGGAAACAAGGATATAAGCTTTTTCATGCTTCAAGAAGATATGCTGTTGGGGTGGCTGCTGAAATTCTACATAGTATGTAGGTTCAAACCCTCATGGTGGTCCTAGGAGGTAGTGGTAATTGGAGCACTCGTCCTTAGATAATGCATGAATTGCATAATATTTTTCAAATATTCTCTCTCTAATCAGGTTTACCTTTAAAGTTATAATAAATGAAAGAGAATTTCCAGAAGCTGAAGGTAAATCAAAGAAGGAAGCAAAAAATGCTGCAGCCAAAATAGCTGTTGATATACTTAATAAAGAAAATAAGGTGAGTTATTGCCTTTTCACTAAAAGGGAACTTTCAGTTTTTTTTTTAATATTTCTATGAGAAAATACAGGTACAGTAAAGACACTCCCAAGTCCCTTTATGTTTTGGAGTTGAGGTCAATCATTTTTCCTTGTCTCCGTTTGTGTAGAATGCTGGACAAGAAGCTGACCTTGGCAATGGTGGGCAAAGCTACCCAGGTGTTATTTTGCCTGTTTAGAGTGTCAGCGGCAGTTTAGTTCTCTGAAGTGGAATAGTGAGCAATGGTCAGTGAGAAACGAACTACAGGCTCCAGGAGGGGAGGTTCCCTCCACCTTATTGAGGAAACCACAATGGAAAAAGAAAAAGGTGGAAGTGATTCTCTGGAGAACGATGTGGAGAACTGAAGTGAATGTGCTTGGTATCTCAGAAGATGAGAACTGGGTAAACAGTATAGGAAAGAACAGTATCAGATGAGATTTCAGCAGAAAGTGCTTATCAAATAAAGACCCGAGTACAGACTAGAACAAGTTGATATATATTGGAAAATACAGCACTACCCAGAACAGCATTGATCCTTGTGAAAATACTGAGTTCCAAGGATAAAGAATTCTGGCATCTAAGCAGCAGAGAAAAATATGTAAAAAAATTTATGGTGTCCACAGCAACCTTAAAACCTGGAGATATTTGAGCAATGGTTGTAATGGGAGATATGAAGTCATTTACAGAGGATCACTCACTAAATTAAAAGTTATGGAAAAATTTAGCTATCAAGAGACAGTTCTGAAAAACGTTAATTAAAAATGTCACTCTTCTGACCAAAACTGAAGAAAAACATTAAGCAAAATCATCTCAAATTATTGATAAATTACAAAACTGAGTTGAGAAGCTAGGGGAAAAATGCAATAGAGTATCTTCCCTCAAAAAAGCAGAAGAAAGAAAATAATAACAGTGGCAGAAATTAATGTAAAAGATACAAAGAAATTCTGAAGAGGATCAATGAAATAAAAGACAACAATAATAAAGTAGAAAAACTTGAGATCAGATTTTGTCAGATTAAAGAAAAAAGTACAGTACTATAGTTTACTTTAGTATCTGTTACCCTGCTTTTTGAGACTTTGCAAGTTAGAAAATATTATATAGCACTTTTCATGGAAAAATAAGAAAATGGACTAGTTTTTGTTTTTCCTTTTGAAACTAAAAGACAAATGGGTGTTTTCTTTCTTATTGCTAAAATTTATTTTTGTGGCTTTTTTCTGATAGAGAAAGGTATATATTTACAATTTTTTCAAGATAATATAATTGGAAAATACGTAATATTTAAGTTACCTTTCATATTGCTCATATAGTTATTTTTAAAGAAGATTTTTTATATATTTATTTATTTTTTATTTATTTTTATCTATTAATTTATTTGAAAGGGAGAGTTACAGAGAGACAGAGGCAGAGAGAGAGACAGAGGTCTTCTATTTCCTGGTTCATTCCCCAATTGGCTGCAATGGCCAGAGCGGGGCTGATCCAAACCCAGGAGCCAAGAGCTTCCTCTGTGTCTCCCACATGGGTGTAGGGGCCCAAGGGCTTGGGCCATCTTCTGCTTTCCCAGGCCATGGCAGAGAGCTGGATTGGAAGTGGAGCAGCTGGGACTTGAACCCGGTGCCTATATTGGATGCCAGCACTGCAGGCAGTGGCTTTACCCGCTACACCACAGGGCTGGCACCTCATATAGTGATTTTATTAGAAAACTAAAATAAAGGTTAAATCATTGTTGTCATTTATATTAAATAAGATTTTTTTTCTTTGTAGGAAGTTAGTCCTTTATCGCTGGAAACAACGAATACTTCAGAGGGGTCATCCATTGGGAATTACATCGGCCTTATCAATAGGATTACTCAGAAGGCAAAACTAACTGTAAATTATGAACCATGTGAACTGTGGGAGCAGGGGCCCAAAAGGTGAGCTGTAGTTTGGTTTCTCCTTTGATTTCCTCATATCTAAGCAATAAAGTAGGCTTATTTTCACGTTTGATTTTCTGAAAGTATTTGTCATTTTTGTACATACTATATGGAAGGTTTTATGTGACTTATAAGCGATTATAACTGGTAAATTGGGGTAATCCATTACAGCAGTTTTCCTTATCTGCAGGTTTGGTTTCTGCAGTTGAGTTACCTGTGCTCAACACCAAGAAGAGGGGAGGAAATTGCAACAATGAGACATATTGAGAGGGACAGATACCATGTTCATAGAGTTTTTTTAAACTTTTATTTAATAAATATAAATTTCCAAAGTACAGTTTATGAATTACAATGGCTTTTTCCCCCCATAACTTCCCTCCCACCCACAACCCTTCCCTCTGCCTCTCCCTCTCCCCTTCCATTCATATTAAGATTCATTTTCAATTATCTTTATATACAGAAGATCAATTTAGTATAAATTAAGTAAAGATTTCAACAGTTTGCACCCACACAGAAACACAAAGCGCAAAATACTGTTTGAGTATTAGTTATACCGTTAATTCACATAGCACAACACATTAAGGACAGAGATCCTACATGAGGAGTAAGTGCACAGTGACTTCTGTTGTTGATTTAGCAAATTGGCACTCTTGTTTATGGTGTCAGTAATCACCCTAGGCTCTAGTCATGAGTTTCCAAGGCTATGGAAGCATTTTGAGTTCGCTGACTCCGATCTTATTTAGACAAGGTCATAGTCAATGTGGAAGTTCTCTCTTCCCTTCAGAGAATGGTACCTCCTCATGGCCCGTTCTTTCCACTGGGAACTCACTCGCAGAGATCTTTCATTTAGGTGGTTTTTTTGTTGTTGTTGTTGTTGTTGTTTTTTTTGTTTTTTTTTTTTTGTTTGTTTGTTTTTTTTTTGCCAGAGTGTCTTGGCTTTCCATGCCTGAAATACTCTCATGGGCTCTACAGCCAGATCTGAATGCCTTAAGGGCTGATTCTGAGGCCAGAGCGCTGTTTAGGACATCTGCCATTCTATGAGTCTGCTGTGTATCCTGCTTCCCATGTTGGATCGTTCTCACCTTCTTAATTCTATCAGATAGTATTAGCAGACACTAGTCTTGTTTATGTGATCCCTTTTACTCTTAGACCTATCATTATGATCAATTGTGACCTGAAATTGATCACTTGGACTAGTGAGATGGCATTGGTACATGCCACCTTGATGGGATTGTATTGGAATTCCCTGGCACGTTTCTAAATCTACCGTGTGGGGCAAGTCCGATTGAACATATCCCAAATTGTACATCTCCTCCCTCTCTTATTCCCACTCTTATATTTAACAGAGATCACTTTTCAGTTAAATTTAAACACCTAAGAATAATTGTGTGTTAATTACAGAGTTCAACCAGTAGTATTAAGTAGAACAAAAAAAATACTAAAAGGGATAAAGTATTAAGTTGTTCATCAACAGGCAGGACAAGGGCTGATCAAGTCACTGTTTCTCATAGTGTCCATTTCACTTCAACAGGTTTCCTTTTTTGTGCTTGGGTAGTTGTCACAGATCAGGGAGAATATATGATATTTGTACCTTTGGGACTGGCTTATTTCACTCAGCATGATGTTTTCCAGATTCCTCCAACTTGTTGTAAATGACCAGATTTCATTGTTTTTTTTTACTGCTGTATAGTATTCTATAGAGTAAATGTCCCATAATTTCTTTATCCAGTCTACTATTGATGGGCATTTGGGTTGATTCCAGGTCTTAGCTATTGTGAATTGAGCTGCAATAAACATTAAGGTGCAGACAGCTTTTTTGTTGGCCAATTTAATTTCCTTTGGGTAAATTCCAAGGAGTGGGATGGCTGGATTGAATGGTAGGGTTATATTCAGGTTTCTGAGGAATCTCCAAACTGACTTCCATAGTGGCTTTACCAGTTTGTATTCCCACCAATAGTGGGTTAGTGTCCCTTTTTCCCCACATCCTCACCAGCATCTGTTGTTGGTAGATTTCTGCATGTGAGCCATTCTAACTGGGGTGAAGTGAAACCTCATTGTAGTTTTGATTTGCATTTCCCTGATGACTAGTGATCCTGAACATTTTTTCATGTGCCTGTTGGCCATTTGGATTTCCTCTTTTGAAAAATGTCTATTGAGGTCCTTGGCCCATCTCTTAAGTGGGTTGCTTGTTTTGTTGTTGTGGAGTTTCTTGATCTCTTTGTAAATTCTGGTTATTAAACCTTTATCTGGCCGGCGCCATGGCTCAATAGTCTAATCCTCCGCCTTGCGGCGCTGGCACACTGGGTTCTAGTCCCGGTTGGGGCGCTGGATTCTGTCCCGGTTGCCCCTCTTCCAGGCCAGCTCTCTGCTGTGGCCAGGGAGTGCAGTGGAGGATGGCCCAAGTCCTTGGCCCTGCACCCCATGGGAGACCAGGAGAAGCACCTGGCTCCTGCCATCAGATCAGCACGGTGCGCCGGCCGCAGTGTGCCAGCCGCGGCAGCCATTGGAGGGTGAACCAACGGCAAAGGAAGACCTTTCTCTCTGTCTCTCTCTCTCTCACTGTCCACTCTGCCTGTAAAAAAAAAAAAAAAAAAAAAAAAAAAAAAAAAAAAAAAAACCTTTATCTGTTGCATAGTTTGCAAATATTTTTTCCCATTCTGTCGGTTGCCTCTTCACTCTCCTGACTGTTTCTTTTGCAGTACAGAAATTTCTCAATTTGAAGCGATCCCAATTGTTAATTTTGTCTTTGACTGCCTGTGCTTCTGGGATCCTTTCCAAGAAGTCTTTGCCAGTACCTATATCTTGCAGGGTTTCTCCAATATTCTCTAATAATTTGATGGTGTCGGGTCGTAGATTTAGATCTTTAATCCATGTTGAGTGGATTTTTGTGTAAGGTGTAAGGTAGGGGTCTTGCTTCATGCTTCTGCATGTGGAAATCCAGTTTTCCCAGCATCATTTGTTGAATAGACTGTCCTTACTCCAGGAATTGATTTTAGATCCTTGATCAAATATAAGTTGGTTGTAGATGTTTGGGTTGATTTCTGGTGTTTCAATTCTGTTCCATTGGTCTATCCATCTGTTTCTGTACCAGTACCATGCTGTTTTGATAACAACTGCCCTGTAGTATGTCCTGAAATCTGGTATTGTGATGCCTCCAGCTTTGTTTTTGTTGTACAAGATTTTCTTTAGCTATTCTGTCGCTCCCTTGCCCGCAAAGGAACGACACTGCTCGCAGCTTATCGTTCTTCAGTAGACTTTTAATAAGAAAATAACAGCGACAGAGAAAGAATGAAGGGAGGAGAGTGGAAAGAAAAGCCTCCTCCTGCCTCAGCACACAGCTTATATACAAAATCCGGCCAATTGCAAGCGGGCTCAAGTCCATGCACAGAACACTCCAATCCGCTGTCTGTTCACGCAGTGTGCACGCGTCCTTGGGCCAATCAGATGAGGTGTCACGCAGCAGGCAGGCTTACCGCGCGGTCCTCGGCGCCATCTTGTTGTTTACAACATTCTCAACTCCTCTGGAAAGTCCCGACCGTGGGAAAGCATTGCCCTAACTGAAACTAACAACATCCGCCTTGTGATAAAGACACAGCAACAGCTATCAGACCAACCTTGACGTGGGGGCTCCATGGCTGCGCATCCCATGGAGCCCCACATCTCCCCTTTCTTTATTATTTAAATGGCATGGAAACATGCCTGTCTTAGGTACCCAATGGCGCGCTACCTGCTTACCTGTCATGGAGGTAATAGGAAGCCTGTCCTACCCTCTGTCTTAGGTTGCTAGGAGCGCCCATCAGTGTTTACCCGTCTTTGACTACCGCTCCATCATGCTAAGCCATACTTCTTTATTGGGGTGAGATCGCAAGGTGGCCAGCATAGCCTGTTGGATTATCAAGTTGGTATTCTGCTGATGGAGTGCTAAGGCTCTGATCCATCTGGCAATGAAGGCAAGGCCCAGTAGTACCATGACAAACAAGCAACCGATAGCGGCACTTTCTTTAACTTGAGCCCTGTCTTAGGTAGGTGCAGGATGTGGAGTGTCTTACCCGTTTTTGAGTACCATTTTAGCCCAACATTAGGTGAGAGATGAAACATACAGCCAAATATTAATTATTTTTGATTACAAAGGAGGTTTGGTACGAAGTTTTAAGTGATGAATGTCAGTCCATACAGACTGTAGTGAAGTTAGCACAAATTGCAGAACACACGGAAAACATCCCATACAAAGTAGAAAAAGCAGTAACGGTCCAGCCAGCATTAATAACCAATGAATCCATTGAAACCCTCCAAATGTTAGTGGGTTAGTAATAAACATATGTAGCATTTTACTCTTAAGTTTATCAATAACAGACTCTATATATGGCATTGTTAGTAATGTTAAAACAACATTCCCCTGGTACAGATTTACAACTTATATGATCTTTTAACAGCAAGTAATTGATAGCTGCGCGGTTTAAAAGTACTCCTGAATGAACTTGATTCAATTTTTTAGCTATAGTGGATAGCGCAGTAGTAGTAAGATTGATTGTTTTGGTCACCAAACATGTAAGCCTTCGTAGTCCACGATTATTTCCATAAGCCAATCCAGGAACTCCCACTAGCTGTATAGCCATGGTGAAAGCAGGTCTCCAATTAAGATGACATCATCATCACAGTTCTCAGGTAATGAGCGTCACTGTCGTGCCTTTGGAAATACAGATGTTAGCATCGGGGCCACACGGCCCAATGAGCAGTTGTGAAAATTATCAGAGGTTAACAATGTAAAAGCAAATTGGTTGCATAAAAATACCCATCCCTTAAGAGCCCATGTCCCATACCAGTACTGGATCAGGTCCATTCCATTGATTGGTGATAGGATCCTTCCATTTTACCATTGTTCTTATCCCAGCTGTTTGTGGATGCCACTGTTGATCAGCTGCAAAACGACCATCTTTATCCAATGTGAAAAAATTTAAAATGAATAAAGCACGTGAGAGCCATTTGTTAGGAGAATGGGC